GATAGACAGACCAAAAATGATCTGCTACGACCACATTACAAGTTCATTACCCAGCAGACAACAATGTGAAATCTTACAAATTGTAAACTTAGTCGCATATTATATGCCAGGCCCATTAATGATAAGAATGATGTACATAAAAAAATGATGCTAATTCGATAATAATATGTTGTGGATGCGGGGTGGAACAAAAAAAAAGACTAGATGGTTCAATCGTTTATAAAACAATAAAAACAACTTTTATTACACGCGCTTCAGTAAACAAAAAAACCTATGGTCATTTTCTTCCTTTTAAATTAGTGTTTCCTCTTAAGTCCTCTTTCTTCTCTTTAGGTCTTTAAGTTCTCTCGTTACATTAAATTAAGATAAGAGAGCTTAACGATTTTATTTTTAGAATATTATTATAAAAGGCTGAAATGAATTTTACCCTATAAAATATGAGCCGTTTAATTTTCACCCCTAGGGCCGCCTATGAAGGGACTAAGGCGTCGGGGTTATAAGCAGGGAATGGCGCTTTGACTCCATTTCTTGGAATATAGACAAATATTATCATTCTTTTTTTGAGGGGGGAATCTCGTTGCAATTTATGAGTCTTATTCGTGTTTTTCACACTGCCCATTGAATAGAAATTTTCCAATAAAAATCAAGATATTCCGGGAGAGAAAATATTGTCACATACAACCGGATAGAAATTACTTAAGTGGGGTCTGGTTTTGTGGAGCCGTCGTGTCGTCGTGAGGAATCGGTTTAGTAAACAAATCACGCATTTGCCTACACCCTTGATACTGCGTAGTAAGCACTAAAACAGCCAGAATTCTCAGCCAGAAGCTTTCCAACTGCGATCCGGCAGGAATATTTTCTTCGTATCCGAAGACAATTTAGAAGAAATAAAACAGCGTAAAAGTGGCCCGATGGCAAAGATTTTCAATCTTTGTGTTCCATCCTCAGTCAGGACATTCTTTCTTTGTAATTGTATGTGTTTCTGATCTTGGGGGAAAATCGACTTGCTCAATATCCGGCTTTTATCACAACTTTCACATTTCAACCTTAACAATATCTTTTAACCGTTTGGGACAAGGAAGTTGTACACGAGAATAAAACTTACCATGATTTTTTTTATTAAAGTCTATTATGAATTATATATCAAACTCTTGTTTCTTCTGGATGTCCTGGAAAGAAAATGGAGGACCTTGTGATGATGAGTTTGATTCTATTGCCATTTGTAGGCGGTGATGTTTTTTAAAATATTACTATTCTTTATGGACCTTTAGGTAGTTCCTCCTAGTATTACACAATAGACCTAAGTCACATGTGAAAAAAGACAACTGACAAAGGAACCACTTCTAGTATAGATTATTTAGTAAACTTTTAAGTTACTGTTAAGGAAGTTGCACGGGAAAATAATTAAATAGCTTAAATAAAATTTCAAATTAGGTAGTTAACTAGTAAATCATTATTTTATTTTCATTATTTTCAGTGGTCTAGGAAAAAATGGCCCGAATCTAATTTAATTTAACACCAGCTGTTAATAATTAACAAAAACATTTGACTAACTTTTTTATCCTATTGCAATATGTTTATGATGTTACGTTTTGTATAAAATAAATAATAATATATACCCGTAGTTTTCAAATTATTCTATAATTTTTAAAATAGCATATTTTTAGCACCGCTGGATTGATTCCGCAAAAGAAAGAAGTCTGCCTTTCACTCCTTACTGCTGTGAGGGTTTTTTTTGTTCGTTTATGTTTTCTGCTAAAAAAATTACATTGCAGGCTATGATTTTTTTTTCGTGATTAGACATGTCCTTCTGGTGCTTTCCTGATTTCTGCCTCTAATTTTCTTATTCAATCTCTTGATGTGATAACCTCTAATTTGGCGATCAATTTTTTATTCGTTAATGTGGTTGACTAAAAACATTTACCTTGCAGACTATGACGGAAAAATATCTTGGAAACTTATGAAAATTATGTGCCTTTCTGAAATTAAACTGTTCAAACATTTAAATTAAGATTTTTTTTTTTCAGTTTTTCCCTTTGAAGGAGGAGAAAGTATTGCGTTCAGCCAAAAAACTGTGTGTAATGTTTTCTCTCAATTTGCACTTTTTTGGGTACCCTGTAAATAATAGAATCGAAATTTTAAACCCCCCCCCCCCGAATGAACAATCTGGATCCGCCCTTGGCTCCGTCTGTAAAACAAAAAATTTCAACCGCTCGTTCAATTTGATTTTTGTGTTCCGGATTTTGTAAATAAAGTTATGTACGTCAATCTAATGTTTGTTTTCATAGAGATACCCCCTCGATCACATAATTTAGGAATGGACTGGCTAATTTATAAAACTTTAATTTACTACATACTATTAGTTAAATACTTGAATGAGAGGGGTCCGGTCTGATTTTGTTCTGTGAAAGGGGTCCGCTGGCTAAGAAGTTCGGGAAGCCCTGATTAATCAGTCTCCAATTTTACGAATCTGGGTGACTGCTTATCCAAACAAGAATTCTTTGTTGTCCTGTTATGGTTTCCAAGGTTGTGGAGATTTTTGGTATATTCTGCGACTATTTTGGATGTGACCTTTTTTACATGCTAATGCTTTTAGGATTGTCTGATCTTGTAGGATTTAGAAGTCAGTGTAACTTAAGGTTTTCTTAGGACCAAGCATCGATAGCATGAACTTCAGCTTGAAACTTCAAAGACCGTTTTTATAGGATGTAAAGAATGTTTCTGGGATCATGTACCTCCATTTATTTAACTTCGATGAGTAGCCAGGAACCCGAATTTTGTAAAAAAAAAAAAGAAAAAAAAGTCGATATTATTTATTTTATCTTAAATTTTATCGACCACCATCCTTAAAGGGTTGTGTCGCTCCCACAGTCCGAACGTAGAATATTAAACCCCTATAGCTATACGAATTTTATTTATTAAAGCTCGTGGGTAAAAAAAGGATAGGGGATGGTTTAATCGTTTAATTGAATGTAAATGTAGGAAGAGTTCGGAAGGAAAAAAATGGCCTTGAACACGATGAGCCAGCAGGTACCCGAAGAGAATTCGTGAGAATCTTTTCACGTATTTATTCGGTGGGGCGAGTCAGCAGGGTGTTCGTATATATCCTAGAAAGGGTAGTGGCGAGTAAAAAAATAAGCGATATGATAAAAAGTAGTGAAGGGATTGTGGTTGAACCCCCACCTAAATGTCTGAATAGTCCCTTGACCTTAGAGAAGCTATGTTGCCACTTAGCCCGACACACCTTATCCACGAATTCCTCTTTCCCTCTCGCTCCTTCCAACGCCCTTCTCTCCTCCCACTCTTCTTCCTAAATATAAACAAATTAATAATGCACTGTTAGCAGCCAATGACCGGGATCGAAAGGCACAGGCTCCATCGAGAAAACTCTTTTCTGGCGACTCCGGGAAGAGAATATTATGCTTATGTATTTCCTTCAAATGAGTCACAGACTACGTCTTGGCCGGGCCCCTCCTCCGGAAAAACAAGACTAAAAACGGCTTCAAGGGCCATCTGTTTACCTCCTAGGCCCCATTCGAAACGCGTTCTTTCAGAAAATGGAATTAAATTCGATACCAGATCGGAACAAGTCCACCACCTATGCAGGAAGTCAAAGAGGCCTCACATAAAAAAAATACTCCAACAGGTGCATCCATCCTCCGGCCTTCCTCCTCCTTGCACTTCACAGGGCATAAATCGTCGGCCGGCCTCTAAATCGAAGCCAATTACGATTTTTTGCTTATTACCACGTTATTTGAATATACCAGACTTTCGTAATTAAAAAGCGTCTATCTAGTATCTTATACAACAACCAGCCTGAGGCAATCGACTCGCCTCCTTTATTGTAGAAATAGGAAATTTATCTATCAACCACTTCGTCGTGAGCTTTAGAAAATAAGGGTGCGCCCGAGCACGTTCCCCACATAACATTTCTTTCTTGCAAATGTGCTGAAACAAAACTCTTTCGTGTTAATTGTAAGGAATATCTCAATTCAACACTGCATACTATTANGGTAGGGTTAGATTACCTAACTTACGGTAAGGATGGGTTAAATACATTTTTCTTCTGTTTAAATAATTGAATTTCACTGGATTTTACACAGGTTGAAATTAAATTTCTACTTTTAGCCTTTTTTTATGTAAAAATTTCTTATTTAGTACTAATGTACAATTTAGAGGCAAAAATCAAGTATTTTTGAAACAAAAAATTTAAAATGAGATTACAGCTCAAAATGTATGTTTTGAGAAAGTGCATGTGATGACTGGAAAAACCAAAAAAATTATTTCTATGTGCAAGGCCACACATTTCGTGTATGAAAGCTTCAAAATTGAATCAATTTGAACTTTTCCCTTATTCAACGTAGAGACCTGTTGTCTCTTATTCAACCATACACGGAAGAAATAAACTGTGTCATCTCGAACTGAAATCGGTACTGTTGATTTGAAAAAAACTAAGGCCTACACTTTAAGGAAAAGCATGAGGTACTTTTAAAATGACACCTGGAAAATGCTTTGGTGCAACCTAGTATAATATAAATCAGAATTATACCGGCAGGAAAGATTAATATAAACAGTATCCCCTGTAAGAAAAAAGATATTAATTTTTTTGGGGGGAGCATTTATTCTATATGAAAATACAAGGGTTATATAAAAAAATCATTTTAATGAACGTAAAATAAAAGGATAACAATAACAGTTTTTTAAACTATAATTTTCCAAAACAGTAAGAGATATATAAATATATGTCCAATGTAGCTTTAATAAATCGACATGCATAATTTACATATGCAATGCTTATCCTACAATCACATGTGCATAAGGACCATCATTAAAGCAACAATGGTGATATACTATCATTTACATGTAGAAAAGAATTTCAAAAATAATTTATATAAAGCTGCATATACACTTAACTTAATAACAATGTAGTTATAAGTTTAATATAATTTGAACCGATATAAATACTATATTGAAGGAGTAAATAATTTGGTCTGTGGATGCATTAATATATTTTTAATATTTTTTAAAATAAAAACAAGAGCTATTAGATTTATTATAAGTTATATTATGAACATTTTGTCACAAAAATTTTCATATGTTGGTTGACTACATCAGCTTTTCACAAAGCCACACAGTCTGAATAAATCAAAATTGTACATTTATGTTTGGAATTTTGTTATATTCATCAATCAGGTTAGATTTGTTTCATTTAATTCATGCGAACTTGAACCTGTAAGTGAGAACAATAGCCATAAAACGAACAAGGCGATCAAAACTGTAATTATTTTCCAAGGGTTTCTTTTCAAGCTGCACACTTTACTTCCAATTGACCTGAAACATTAAAACATGAGTTTAAAAATAAATCAACAAGGATATAAATACATGGGCGATGGAAATATGCGTGTGAAGTAAACATATTAAGGCAGTTCCACACCAGCAGTCAGCTAATATAGGCATAAACAAAATGACTTTGTCTTGTGTTCTGTCTTACACCTGTCACAGATCATAATGTACTTCCTTTAGTGTAAGGTAAAGGTTGAGGAAGAGCCTGACAGCCTTGAACTTCCAGGTTGCCTCTTCTCCAAGTCTGGAAATGCCTTAAGCCAGAAACACACTTACCCGATGCTATGCCACGCTAACCTACCCGACGCTCTGCGATCCCCACTGTCCAGATTTTCGTCAGGTCGCAACGAGTACAGTCGAAGACAAAAGAACCGGACACTCATATTTTTATTCAAACTACATGTATTATTGTCGTTATATTAATTACAACATACTTATTTTAATATAAACCAAATTAACTGTGATTAAAAATTAATTAGTTTTTATTTAAAAAATTAATTTTAATGGTTTGGTAGAAAATTAATCAAAACACCGGAATACGATTTTTTGATATAATGAATTTAACTAACAATTTATTGTACTCGCTTCGGCGGTACATATACTAAAATTGGAACAATTTATTACACGGTTTTGCTCATAAAATTTAATTAACAATTTATTTCATAGTTTTGCTCGTAAAATTACACCATTTTGTAATGTCGGGTAGCATCAGAACAGGACACTCATATTTTTTGTAGTTTATTTCAAACTAAGTACATGTAATTTTATCGTTATATTAATTACAACATGTTATTTTAATGTAAACCAAATTAAATGAAATCAAAAATGCATAAGTTTTTATAAACATTGTTTAATTATGATGGTTAGGAGAAACTTTATTTAAAACAATTAAGTTTAACAAACAATTTATTAGATGGTTGTACTCATAAAATTTAACTAACTATTTATTACAAGGTTTTGCTTAAAATAGTGAATTAAGAACAAAAGATGCGTTGCGACTGTGATAGTGATTATTGTGATAAATGCTGTGGACTGTATGCGACGTGTGCTTGTGTCGGATAGATGTGCACACCCCACCAAAACGTGGCAAGGCGTCGGGTAGCATCGGGTACATCGCATGGCATAGCATCGAGTGTGTTCCCGGCTTTAAGATTGGCTACAAAGAACACTAGCATCTACAATACAGTAACAAAAATACTCTAAGAATAACTACGTCAAAGTAGATATATAAGTAAAGTAATTCCTTAGAAGGGCTTAATGTCCATTACCCATTGGATGTCGCTAACAAAGGGTCAAACAACTTTACAATACTTCTTTTATACCATTCTCCATTAAAAAGCCACGGGCTGTGTCAGGATTCTAACCCAGGACTCTAGCATATTCTAGACACCCTAATTGATTAATTAAATTTTGTTAGGTATATCATCAGAATTTGATATCAGGCTGTTTCACATAAAATGTCTTTTAGGTTTTATAATAAAGGTTGCTTAGTAAAACCAAAAGCAGTTTATTTAAAGTATTAACGTTTAAAAAATAAAGTTAGAAAATGCTTTTTGGACTTTTTTTTTTTAATTTATTGGCCTTATGATCTTGCATATTAGCCATGGTACGAATTCTTTGTGTGTTCAAATTGGGGGTTATCGGGAAAAAAGGGCCATAGGTGACGGTGGGAATTGAACCCACGACCGCAGCGTGAGAGTCTCTCATGCTAACCACTCGGCTACCGCGGTCCCCCTTTTTGGACTTGGTTGACACATGAGGACAAGATAGGTTTGCTGTGTGGAACAAATTTAAACCTAAAAAAAATTTAACTTGCTAATTTAGTGTTTTGAACCAAGAGTACTTTTCGGCGTAGGAATTGAAGGCAGAAAATGTTGACCTAGCAAAACCTTGAGGCCCCCACAATATCAATTTTCCAAGCTGAGATCCATACAGTACCAACAACAAACTAAAACTATAAGTAAATGTAAAGTCAAGTCTTCCAAACCCAACATTAAGATGTAAAAACATGATATTCTATAAATATTTGAAGTAAACGGTGATGTGGAATGCATTCCTTTCTTTTATGTCTTTCAACAAATAATAAAAATTAATGAAAACTTCCTTATACTCTGGTAAAACTGTCATTAAATATTTAACAAATTCAATTGAATTATACACATTAATAACAAAAACAAAATTAATAGACACAAAGTAATGATTTTCTAACTGACTTGTCAACTTGATACTAAACAAAACATTAAAAATAAACTACTTACTTTAGCCACCTGGGAATTGCAAATATTGAATACCTTCTTCTATATTTACTTTCATCTTCTTCAACTAAGAGCAACTTGGAATTAGAAGAACCATGGCCAACCCTCCTGGGAAACTGAGCTGGAAAACGAATCATAATTTAGTTTTTCCTAATTAATTATGAAGACATATTTACAAAGATTCAAGCCTGATAAGACTATACAAAGATGTTTATTTACAAAAATACATGCATATACAATTAAAATACTCTACAATGGAAATTAAATTAGAAATGGGACAATTAGAAATCTTTGGTGCTAAGTTGTGAAGATAAGAGGCAAAGAGATGGAGCTTAAAGTGGGAAAGGATGGTGCTTGGCGGACTGAATGAGGAAGGGAATTCTATAGGTTGGAGGCACGGGAGAGGAAGAAAATAAGATAAAATAAATAAATAATAAAAATAAATAAATAAGAATAAAAAAGAAAGAACAAAATTGTTGAAGAAGTCAGAAGGGCAGTAGTGAGTTTGATGAGAATGGATATTTTTTAATTAATTTTATTTTTGTATTTTCTTATTTATTTCCCTTTTTATGGGGGGTATTTCAACTATGAGGTTATATGAACCCTTCGGGTGACACTGTTTTTGAAAAAAAAGCCCATTTGTAAGTATGTCGGGTTCGAATGCAGGGATGGTTAGGGGCTGCTGGATTCGAACCCAGGACCTTTACCTTATAGGAATGAGCACCGTGTCAATGCCTTAACCGTTGTGGCCACCAACGCCCTAGTCCCAACCCTTAGTTTTTATTTTTCTCTCTCACTATTTAATACTTTCTTTTTTCAATTAATATTATAACAATGTACTTAAGGATTTCATTTCCTTTCTATTTACAATTATATATAGAATATTTGGTAAAATATTTGTGAAAATCAAGGAGCCAAATTTTAGACCATGACTTACTACCCTACATAACGTAAACCATCCCTAACTCTAGCCCTGCCTAACCTAACTGTTCCTAACTCTAACGCTAGCCCTTACTTAACCTGTCCCTAACTCTAACTCTGCCTAACCTAACCGGACCCTAACCCTAACCATACCTACTGCAACCTATCCTTAACATTAACTCTAACCCTACTTAACGTAACCTAACCCAACCATGCGCGTACCTGTGTAATGCAACATGAATGACACAAAAATGGTCATGCAAACAAAATATGTATCCAGCTCAAAAACATACCCATGTGGATAGTTAATAAACATTAATTTCTGGAAGAATAACAACAGATAATTCTTTAGGTCTGATCAACTGGAATGGATTTTTGGACAATTTTTATATCACTGGTTGCAGGGAAAATTGGGTTAAGTCAAAAATCAAAATTTTGGGCAAACTTTTTTTTTGGGGGGGAACAAGTTTCCATGAATGCTTTTCTGATTGTCTCAGTTCTGAAGTGATTTTGTTATTCTTCAACTTTTACTTAAAACAACTTTCAAAATTTTTGACTGCAACCACAGATATGAAACATATTTAATAGATTCACAATTCCATTACAGTTTTAACAGATAGTTTTGGTTTGATTTTACAAATGTAATGGATTTTTGCTTTTGTTAATATGTGTATTTTTTTTCTCAAGTTTTCGACATCTTGATCAATTTAATCCATGTGCTTTCTTTTTTATATCAATGTTTTTGGTTACCAAAGTAAACCATAACTAACATTAATAAGTTTGTAAACAGCAATTTAACTACATTAACAACAAACAGCAATAAAACAATTAATACATAGCACAAATAATACACGAAAAATTCAGTTTGTGTGTAAGTGATGTTCTTAAATTTATCTACTTGATTTTCACAAATATTACACCAAAGGAGTTCAATAAGTAGAAAGAAAATGAAAACCTTAAGTACATTGGTATATGTAATAAAATTGATTAAAAAAGAAAGTATTAAATAGTGAGAGGGAAAAATAAAAACTAAGGGTCAGGACTGAAGCTGAAACACCACCTGCATATTTATTTCCTAGCCCTGACTATATATCAGGATTATAATTTTAAATTAAACAAACTATAAAAGGTTTAACTTAATAGACTGGTACCTGTCTCTTCTGGGCGGGATGTTGGAAACATATTTTCATCAACATGAAGCACAACGTCATCCCTCAATTTGGATGCCTGCATAGGCGGAGAGTTCTTTTTCAAATGCTGTAGTGGAAGTTCACTATTTGGTTTGAACTCCTCCTCATTCATAATCTGAACATCAAAATTCAAACAATTAGTTAATTAAATGATGCAATTGATAATTTTTATATCTGTGGTTAAGTGAAAAGTGGGTTAAGTCCAAAATTGAAACTTTTTGGGAATCATTTCTCTTCCTCTTTCTCTGGTTTTGTTATTTTACTATGTTCTGAACATGATATTCAAAATTTTGGACTTAGTCCACTTTTCACTGCAACCACAGATAAAAAACATTATTTTATAGTTTTCCCATTTTAAAGTTATTCCAACAAACAAAAGGATTTACTTTTCCAAGATTTTTGGTAAAACTTGAACAATTTGTTTTATTACCTCTGGTAATCCTAGTCCAGATCTTGCCCAATTAACTGTCAGCAATTTTTCTCGTAGTGCGGCTGCAACTGGAGATACCACCTTGTCCTGGGGTAGAATTAATTTATTACAATCTGGACATTTAAAATCTGGTAGGTCATCAGTCGTTCTTTTACCAATCTGTTCATATACACTATTGTTCAAGCACCTCCAATGATAAACATCTGTAAAAGTGGAAAAAATTAAGTCATTAATATTCCATTCAATTTCAATGATAAAAAGTAAATAAAAAGTTATTATAATGATGCAAACATTACAAATACCAATTAGAACAAAATACGTTGCATATTAACTTAATTTCTGCTGACACACTCACTGCTGTGGGATAAGGTAGTAGGTCTCTGAGCTAACATTGTTTAACACAATGTGGAGAATTCAGGAAATGTGAGAAACTAATGCTTGAAAGAAAAAATGGTGAAACAAAAGTTTAGAATGGAACTTCAGGGAGCAATAAAAAATCAAGTCTTGCATGAACTGTATCATCAACATCACTAGGTATGTAGGAGGATATGTGACTAAAAAGTTTGTGCAGTTTAGGTGTGAGAATGACAGAGGATCAAAACACAAACTCCACTTCCTAATAGTGATCCCTAGGAAACACTAAACTTCTATAGCATACGACAGTGTGGAAAATTGTCTCCACCTTTCAAAATCCAGAAGGAGAAGCAGGCTAGGGGTACTGTGACATCCCAACCCACAGTTATTCCAAAACCCAATTCGACCTCTCATAACTAATTTCCTTTGTGCTTTTAGATACCCTTGTTACGTTCAATATACTGCTGTAACATCTCCCCCCCCCAAGTTAAGGTGGAACAGCTAAGCAAACTCCAGATATCAGCTCCAGACCTCAAGTTTTAAATAATGCCTTTTCCTGTCTCATGGGGGATGACAGGGGCGACCTTTTACTACTCCTAAATACTTGTGGGAAAAGAGACTATGTGCCTCAAAAAGAAAACTACAGCTTGGAGGAGACAGGATTTATGGATGTTTCAGAAGAAATGGAGCATACAGACGCTGCAGAGGTCATAAAGGCTACACAGGGCATGGGAACTCCAACTACTGAAGAACTGATGAGGACAGCAAAAGAAACCGAGAATGACTCAACCAGGACAACAGTAAAGCTGCCTAGAAAAAATTGGGTACAGTTCTCCAGTTCTATAAGAAGCACTACATGGCACTTAAAAAACAGATTAACAACAGAAGTAGTAACGATAAAGTCCCTCAGAGTAGATCCATAAAAAATTTATCCAGAGAAAAAAGTGTCTACGAACCCGGAGTGTGGAATAAAATGGAAGAACCTTCAGGAAAAGACCAAAGGGATCTAAACGAAGTACTTTCATTGATGCATTACAAAAATGTCAGGAATATTACCTAAAACCTTTATAGGGTAAGTTTTTGGGGTTGAATGTACTATAAACATCGTAGGTAATAATTTCAAATGAATTTGTCTGTCGCTTTATTAGGGTTGGTGGGGTGAAATATGGTATTTTTGTACCCTTGTCATTTAGAAGCATTAATAGATCTATCGTTATCATATAAAAGACATTGGTACTATAGGTATACCATGAGCGGTTAAGGACTAATGAGTATCCAGTGACACTTCTCACTACTTAGAAGTTAGATGCCATCAATGTGTGTACTGAAATAAATCCTAAAGCTGGAAAGGACAAAACCTTTAATACGCTTACATATTTTTAAAAAAAAAGGGTGGACAGACGAAGCTATACAGGCCTGAACAAAAAGCTTCCAAGATAAGCTAGCGCCTTGGGAAAATACAAATCTTTTTTCACTCCAAAGAAAGAAAATGAGAATGGTAATGAATTATTTCCATAGAAAGGGGAAAGTAAGCTGTACGATTGTTGTATATTTTAGCTAGAAAATAGGTGAGGGTACCACGCTGCCGGCCTGACTGGATGGTTCACAATTGATCATCTATGTCATAGCACAGTGCAAGTAGGCTAAAGGGGCTCTGATGTCCTATGTCCTATACCCTTTAAAGTGAGGTACCCAAACTCCCATTCCTCACTAAACTAAGTCCTACCAATCGCACCCCCTTTATTCCTGCCTCCCATCAGCATCCACTATCCTCTCCCACACAATCTTGAGCTAGACAGAAAACAGCATCCACCCCAATAAAAGGTATTATGCAGACCGAGCTGAATGACTTATTGGCAGCCTTAATAGACTGTCTTGAATTGTGCCTCTCTGATACCGGGCGACCTCAGAGAGTAATTAGCCTTACTCCATCATGCAGGGCTCTTAGATCTTGGCGGAACTCGGAGCAAACCATTTAGTTCCCTTGCTGCATGTAAAATTCTTATGAGTAAAGAAACTGAAAAACAATTAAACCTGAATCAGGACATCACTGCTTCACAAACTAAAAGTAATTAAAAAGGAGACAAACCTTCAAATGGACGTTCAGTCTATGGTAACACACAACACAAGAATTAACCCATTTGGGAAACCCTCATCAATGAAATCGCCAAAGTAGAGTTTGACAGAAATTACTTCAGGCCAGGAATGATGGACCTTGACTGTGAGAATGACAAAACTGTAGAATGGCAAGAGGAAATAACTCCCAAACTGGAAATTAACAAGGAGAAGAAATCAGTAGTGAGGGTCAGAGATTATGTTCCAAGACCCCACTCGATTCTTAACTCGACCTTCTCCTCCCCCAAAAGAATAATGACATGGAGAAAATGAGAATGTCCCAGGTGAACATCCACCATGGAAAAGCTGCCTTGGCAGTAACAGCTGGGATGTTCACCGCACTACACCTATGGGTAATTCCCATCCAAGAGCCCTGGAAGTGGAAGGGATAAATCAAAGGTTTGTCCTGCAAAGACAGTAAGGTTGTATGGGATTCCAGACAAGAAAATCCCCATGCATATATATTAATTAGGAAAAAAAAATATCTCTATCTTGTAGAATTCATGTCCAGATAGCAAGTCTCCATTCAAATAGAGATAACGAGGGATGGGAAAAACTAGAGGCAGTGATAGCATTGGCATAATTCCCAGGAGAGGAAGACCACCATCCCTTGATTCCGCATAGATTGGCTTACCACTGCACCAAGAAAAATCTCCCCCTTCTCGTAGGATGTGATGCCAATGCATACCATCAAATCTGAGGTCACAACAACAACAGACGAAGTGAGTCACTTAGAATTTTTGGTGAAGGAAAGATTAGGAATTCTTAATTGGGTCAATCCCCCACCTTTGTGACAAGACAAGAAGTATTAACATTTGCAGCTATACCCTGCACAATGTCATAAGGCATTGGAGGGTTCTCATGAAGAATCAATGTCAGACCACACACAGAATAGTAAGGTTTGACATTTAATCAGATAGAAAAGACCCTATACAATATAAGAACCCTTGAAACAATGACTGGGCAAGGTTCATTGAATTGGTACAACACAACTTGAACCATGCAGCAGTGTAGGAAACACCAAAAACCTGCAATGAGTTAGAAATTGCAGTCACAAATATAGTTATAGTTTTATTTATATCATTGTATTAATTAATTTGTTAATTTATATCACAAATATAGTCACAAATATTATAGTTGATGCATAAAAATCAAGCTGCCCTGTGAAGGAACTCAAAAGAAGAGGAACCACCCTGGTGGAATAGAGAACTGGGCAAACTAAGAATCAAAACCAGAAAAGCATTCAATTAAGCTAAAATAACAAGCAACTGGGGAGAGTGTAAAAGGTTACCCACCATCTGCAGGGTAAAGAGAAAAAAACTTTTACAAATTCTGCAGTAATGAAAACTTTTGCAAATTCTGTGGTAATGCAAATATCCTCAGTATCAACAGCAGCTAGACTACATAAACCACTAGCAAAGGACAGAGTAGGTATAAACACTGCCCTAGCACTGTAGCTACACAGTAGATGCAAAACAAAAAGCAATGCTTCTTCTAAGTGCATAACAGATAAAAGAAAACTGGAAGAAAGCAGCCGAAATATGCAAAGAGAAAAAGATCCTCAGGCCAATCAATTCTTCCAGCCCATGTAAAGTGCCAGGAATGGATGGGATTCTACCCATCCTGCTGCAAAAAGGAATAGGAATAATAATTCCAACTCTGGCGCGCATATATAGCAGCCTAGCATTAAGCTACATACCACAAACAAGGCATATGGCAAAAGTAGTGTTTATACCAAAAATTAGGAAAAGAGACCCTACACTACCCAAATCCTATAGACCAATTAGCCTAACGTCTATTTTACTAAAAGCACTTGATAAGCTGATAGACAACCATATAAGAATGACAGTTGATAGACAAACCACTTCAGTCAACATGCATGCAGAGCAGGATGATCCACAGAAATGCTCTGTACCAGTTAACCAGTGACCTGAAGGATACACTGGAAGCAAAGGAAGCAATCTGTGCGTTCCAAATTTGAAGGAGCCTTTTATAATGCATCCCATGCATCCATGAAGGCCTCCCTACAGACCATACCACATCTAGATGGAATGGAGAAATGTTGAGAACCAGAAGAGCTGAGACAAGCCAAAGAAATGATACTACACAAGTTAGTACAGCCAAAAGATGCCCATAAGGAGGAGCTATTCAATTCATAATCCTAACAGTTAATGAATTGCTTGAAACTCTGGAATGCAGAGGGATAAAATGTCAGGGCTATGCAGATGATATAGCCCTGACCACCAGGGGAAAATTCGAAGAAACCCTCTAATATAATCCAAGAAGGGTTAAAAATCATAGATGAATGGTGTAAAACTGCTGGTAGGATATATAGGATATATATATAGGACCTTAATAAAGCAACTATAGTCACTTTTACATGGAAAAGAAAACTGGATCACATGAAGAAGATTGGCATAACCCAACACGGCACATGCAGATTCTGCAAAGGAGCAGAGGAGACACCAATACACCTACTATAAAACTGTGGTGCTACACTTGCCCGCAGGAGGAAGTGTTTTGGGACATTCAACGTAATCGTAGAAGAGATTCAACCTCTGAAACCGAGCCTACTAATCAAGTTCCTTGATGAATTAGGACTTACTGGTGTGCTTTAAGCACAGAATGGGGGATACAGTAGCTCCTAAAGGGTGCAGTATAATATGCACCCCGACTTATACATCTATCTATCTAGAAAAAAAGGTGGCCTTCTGAGGAAGGTTTAAGAACTACAAGAGTGCATAATTAACGGCATGAAAGTACATTGATTACATACGGTAACATATTAGCCTGACACATTCTTCTGATTCCAGTGGACCATTACAAAGTCCACAGTTTGGTTTGTATTCGCTATCATGCAGCCATCTTATGTACGATTGGATTATGCACTGAAAAAAAAAAAGAAAAAAATTATGTTACTCTGCGTCACTTTATAAAAATCAAATAATTTGTCTTGAGAGGCATACAAATTTCAGTGGAAAATGTAAAACTCATGGGGAAAAAGTAAAAAGGATGTTTTTCATTTTGTTCCTGAGTTTACTGTGCTGGCTGAGTTCCATTTTTAATATCTAAGGCTGTGGGCATTGACTTGAGCTCAGCTTCTTTGCCTACTAAGCTTCATAAATGATCAAAGTGAATTTTCATTATATAAATTGGTTATATGTTAGTTGAAAATTTCATATTATTTTCTTTTTGTCAACATGCTTCGACTTTCTTTGTTAATAAAATTATTAATAAAACTTTTTGGCTGTCTTCTGGCAGATGGCTTTTACCAAGCCATGCTAATAAAAAACATAAGATATTGCAAAATGTTGAAATAATAAAGCATTTAAGAGCATGAACAAGGCAATAAAAGAATGTTGGCAGCGTCAGTGAGCCAGACCCTCCAATGAATTCTAGGATATGAAGAGCACGACTGAACAATGGCCCTACGAGTGTCTGAAATAAAAGGGATTGTGCACACCTATTTGAGGATAGGCCATACCCAACTAACTCGGGAACACTTTCTGAGACAAGCTGTGTGCAGGTTTCCCATTTGACGAGAAAGGTCGTTCAGTGTATCAGTGCCTTGGCCAATACCGGAGTGAGTAGGCAAGGCACCCGATATAAAGCTTGAGAGTAGGTTGTAGGAGAGTAGAGTACTCAGATTCCATTTTGAAAAAAAAAAAAGTAAATGTCACAGACGGGATTCAAACCCATCAGTAAAGAAAGCAACAAAAGAATGTTGGCAGTGTCAGTGTGTAAGACCGTTTGAAAAGCTGTTATACACGAAGACCACAACTGAGGCCCTCTGAGTCTCAAATTCAAAGAATGGATCATGCTCACCAGTTTGAGGATAGGTCATACCTGATTTGCACACAAACATGTTTTGGGGCAACCCCGCACAGGTGACCCGTTTATAGAGAAAGGTAGCTAAGTGTGTCACACTTGGACATGTGCCTTGGCCCCTCACAAGGAGCGAGTAAGAAAGTAGGCAAGGCACCCGACCTGAAGATTTGGGAATGAGAAGAATAGGTTGTTGGATCCATTTTTATATTCAGGAAATTTGAGATAAAAGGGTCACAGATGGGATTCAAACCCATGCTATAAAAGGGATACCAAAGAATGCAATAAAAGAATGTTGGTTGCGTTAGTGCAACAGGCCATCCGATACACTCTTGTGAACAAGAGAACGACTAAACGGAGGCCCTCTGAGAGTCAGAAATGAAAAGAACAGCTTATGCTCACTTGTTTGATGACAGGTACCGGATTAACAAACGTACACCTTTTAAGGCAAACCACCTGCTTTTAGAGAAAGGTCGTTCAGTGTGTCAAACTTGGTCAAGTGCCTTTCCCCTTGCAGGAAGCGAGTAGTACCAATATAAAGATTCTTATAAAGAGGATAGGCCTGATTAATACAGGGTCACCTTTACAAATGATTCAACCCAAAATCATCAGAACTGTACCGCAGTGTTCCAACCACCTCAGCACTGTGACTTTGATCCCCGGCCTTTTCTTTTCAAAACATACCTTAATGAATATTTAGATATCGTGAGATGTGGTCTGGTGTGATGTAGGTTTAGAAAAACATTTTCTTTATCATACCAACGTGCTTTTCTAAATCTACAACACACCAAACCGCACCTCACAATCTCTAAATAATCATTAATTAACGGTCATTAAATACTGCACAAAGCTTAATTTGTGCAATTCCTTTATATTGTAAAGTTATCATTTGAAATGGTACAAATAAAGTACCATTATTATTATTTTTATTATAGGCTTATCAGTGACACATGCCTGGTTGGCATAGGAGCAATAAATTGATTATCAACTAAAAGAGCAGAGAAACACAAAATTATTCAAATAACTTTGAACGAAATCAACAAAATTGTTGAAATATGAATCACCTTCTGGCATGTCGACACGCTGAACGTAGAAGCCAGTGTAAATCATTAGGAAAGAGAAAACTTGGTTTTTGCATTGCCAAGGAAAGTATAAAGGTTGATTTATACAGACACGTGAAGGGAACGTGAAGAGAACGAGCCGTCTGTTTTTTTGGGGGCTTGTATTTATACATGTACGTAAAGTGACCGTGACGTGAATTGCCACACTTTGTTCAGTTGTGATCAAGTTGCGTTGTTGCAAGCATGTCGCAGTTCCATTTTTTGATTGAAGATTTGACTACTATAGCAGTTTTGTTGGAGGAGAAACGGACTCCTACGAAGAAAAGAATGAAAATGTGGTGTGTCCACCCAGCATGGAAACTCCGCAGAACGCACGGCGAATTTAAAATCTTCAAACAGTTAATTCCACACGATCGCAAGTTTTTTGAATATTTTAGGATGAGCAGCTCATTTGAATTGCTTCTCAACAAAATCATCGAAAAACAAAACACAAACTGGAATGTGACAAGAAGACCGGAGTGAAAATCTATCTGGGCTGTTGTTATTCATACTTGCTACGATTGTTGATGTTGAATTTGTATTGAAACAGTTTTGGGAGTACTGAGACGAGACGTTTGGAACATGTGGGGGTTGAAAGGTGTATCAGGAGAAGTGGCACTGTTTTGTGATCTTCCCACTTTGCTGCGACCTCGGAATATCCTCCCAACGGCAGATGAGGTTTGGGGCTGGTTGGTTTCAGCATTACTAGGCTCTTCTGAGGGTGTTTCTTCCATTGCCTCTACTTCTTCGGTTAGCGCTGATGTTTCTTGCACTGAAACATTTGTTAGTGTGTCTCTGTCATTTGAATAGGGCAAGAGAAACTTCAGTTGATCTTCATATTTGTATTTTTTGGTGTTGTTTTCAGCAGCCTGTCTGCTTTTGGTTTTATGCTTTTGCATATATCTTCGAAAATGATCTCTAATGTTTGTCCATCTATTTTTGCATTGATTACCTGAAAAAAACGAACGAATTCTTTCAAAAGAACACTGACGGGTACTGAACGACCTCAGCAGAATCGTTGGCGACGACAACTGAATGGGAATCTTCCAGGAATCGCACGTGTCTCGTCTTTGTATAAACACTTCCACTGAAAAGCAAGAAAGCAAAGTTTCCAATGACTCGTTACAGGCTCGACTCGTTCTCTTCACATTCCCTTTATGTGCCTGTATAAATCAACCCTAATACAGTTGACACAATGGTTTAAACTCTTTAAAGAAAAAGTAACACTGACGAGTACATTTACATTTTCGTAGTCAATTGACTAAGTTACTTCTTCCAATCAATTAATTATTCTTTCTAAAGTCTCGGTTGAGATAAAAATGATGAGTACGATGGATCAACGGTGGCTATGATGCCACATATGATTTGACATTCATTACATTCATTACTGCCACTGGGCATTGTACAACTTATTAATTTATATCCAATGAGACATCTAAATAAAAAAATGTATAAAATATCTTTTCTTTTTTTTTGTGTGTGAACGTAATGGTGGATAATACACATCTTACGTGGCAACATATACGATCTTATTGAATTATCAGCTAGTCAAGATATTACCTTTGGATGGTTGACGACGATGCAATGTTCGCATACGTTTACTGCGTGTTCGAAGCAAAACAAAGTCGTGACTTTCCTCTTCGGACACTTGCACAGCCCCATTTCATTGGAGAAATCAATTTAGAAACGTTATAAAGGCGTAATTGAATGAGTCGGGAGGGTTAAACAGTCTGACATTTACCTCCTCCGTTGGATCTGGCTCGGCGAAACCTGAACGTTAACAGCTCGGATCAACGCTGATATGGTGTGTAACCTGCTTCTTTGGTGCTCAATGCAGCAGAAGGCAACTTCCAACTTCTGCGGTCTGCCTGGTGACGCTTCTGTGATGCAGTACAGTCACAACAACCAAATATGAAAATTTTAATTTTTTTCTGCCTAAAAATACCCTATTTTTTCGATAAAATTTACCAACTATAATGATTATATAAACATAAAAACTAAAATACATCCTCCTTTTCAAAATTGAATTACATAATTTTAAATCGTTGATTCTAGTGGACAAAACTACCAAATTATTTTAAGCTGTTACAACATTGGAAATAACAAATGAAATACATTTTACAAATATAAATTTACTCATTCAGAAAACAGTGAAATTTCACCATAAAAACAAAGGAGAGTATTTTTACGGCCACAAAAGCCTAACAAAGAGAAAAATTAATGAGATAGTTACTAAAATGTTTTACAAACTGAAACATTAACAAGGGATGTTTGGAAGAATAAAATCCTTGAAATTACCAGAGAAGCCTTACTAGGGTATGTAGAAGAATCAAAATTTAAACATGGATTAAGGGCAGAATTCAAAGGCCCAAATTTTGACCTACGAAAACCTTTAGGTCCCAATTTTCCAAGCTGAGATCTATTCAATACAACTCTGTGCACAAGATAGATAGAAAAAAAATTACACATGGTTTAATACCGTCTGTCGGAGGATGTTGCAACAAAAAATAATTATNCACAAGAAATACTTACAGTAGTATCCAAAGGTATGGTATGGTGAAAAAGGCAACTAGGAAGCGGGATTTGCACTCCCCAGGCACTGCAGCCTTCTGGCTTATTGTACCTTCCTAGTTCCTTAGTTCATTCAATAGACTCAATCCTTCTTCTTAGAAGTATCAGGTCATTGACTGTCGCTGCTGCAATTTGATTCCCTAAGTTTTTTCTGTACGTTAGGTTAAACCTCCATTGAGCTATTGCTTTGCATTTGAAGATGATATGAGTGGCTGTTTCCTCCTCCTCATTACATAATCTGAAAATGGGATCATCGCTGTGTATACTCATGTTGTGTGGATGTTTTCTCAGATGCCAGTGATCGGTTAGTAGTCCTACCACTCCTCTGAGTTTGGCCCTCTCCAATTGTAGCGGTGCTTTTGCCAGTCTTGGTGAGAGTTGTTTCATCATAAGTTTACTATGTACTATGTGAGTTTATCCACTTCTCCTTTTGTTTTGTTTGCATCCATTCTGCGATGGAGGATTCTATATTTGTTTTTGTTATCCCAAGAATAGGTTCGAGGCCTATGTATGGTCTTGCAGATCCTCCTCTAGCCAGAGTATCCAAAGGTGCACAGATGGTTCTAAAAAAAGATCAATGGGTGAAGGCAAGGGGTAAATGCCAAAATTTTGACCAAGCGAAGCCTCTTGGTCCTACATAATCAACTTCCAAACTGGCAATGAGATCCGTTCAATCGAACTCTATTTCACAAGAAATACTAACAAAATGGCAGAGGTACACAGACGGTTCCAAAAGAAAACGTGTGTAAGTAGGGGCTAAAGGCACAAATTTTCACATAGCAAAGCTTACACCGTCAATTTTCCAAGCTGAGACCTTTTCCTTTTATTTGTTGCCATTATACGATGTTTAATTTCCGACTAATTACCAGTTCCACTTTCCCATCAAAGAATTCAATGAATAGGCATTACATTAAACAGTAATATGTTTCTTGTTAGATTTATCTTTAAAAAATATAAAATCAATATGTATTTTTATTTTATATTACATTCTGTGTGCAGTTTTTAAATTTTAAAAAATTAATTTACTATGTATGTATACAGTTTATCTATATTTTGTTTTATTATTTTAAAGTAATATTTTCTTGTTTAATTAAAGTGGGCTATTTCGCCTGTAATTGTAGATAAATAAATAAAAGTTTATTTATTTACAAATAAATTTTCAACAAAAATACTCGAAAAACCAAATTTTTGGTTAAATTGTGAGCTTTTCTTTTGTGGTGATGAACTTGCAGTTTGGCCGATAATTTTAGTATCTTCAGTTATGCGTCATTTTATTAATCATTGGCTTATTTATTATTATTATTTGTAAGATGGCTGGTTCTGTTTAGTTGCGATTTTAAATTTTTGGAATTGAAATTTGCCTGGTCGATTCGACCAGCCACTTGTGACGAAGAAGACCCACTACTCACTAGGACTAGAGAGGGGACTGGTTTGTAAACAGAGCAGTACCACTACCGGGCACCGGCTCACAGTTTCGTAATTCGTAGTTTCGTACTGTTACCTGATGCCGGCCTTCGCTGTAGACGGCAACTTGGACTCTTGGAGATGACCCGGCCGCTCTCGAATGCCCTCAACGGGCTGAAAAAAGCACTGTCAGATGGTTTGCCGGCCAACAAACTGAACCCGCTGGTCAACACCGTCTGTGCAATTACGGAAGACTTGTTCAACAGCCGGGCCGAAGAGGAGCTAGGTAAAAATCGAAGTTGTTTCGTTTCATTACGTATTTCAGCCCTACCACTTGTAGATTTTTGATTTCATATCTGTATAGTCGCTCACATATTGTAAATTTCAACTCCAAAAGATCGGACATTGGCTGTATTAATTCTGGAGTTCCACAAGGGTCCATCTTAGGTTCTCTTGTATTTGCCATATACATCAATTGATATCACTTCTACGTAGTCTCTTGCCAGGCTGATCTGCCCTTCTGCATTAATAGTTTCAATCATATAAGGTCCAGGACAAATGTATATGGCAAACTTTATCGTTTTCGTTAATTTTTTTAAAATTATAAATAACTTCTTTCGTTACATTTAAAAATTAAATAAAATTTAAAAAACGTTTAAAACAAATGACAAAATAATTCTAATAACCGGCACAGTCTCCACCTTTCTCCAGCCCAGTTAGCATTCGATTTGGAAGGTCGTAGAGGCGACAAACATCTTTAGAAAATTCTTTCTTCCAGTTATTCTTGGTTTGTGCATTTCATATCTTTCGATTTCTGGAACTTGGCTTCAGCCTTTATAAACACTCCTGACAAGATGTCGCCCAGAAATTTTCAATTATATTAAAATCTCAAAGACTTACCAGGTCATTACAAAATTTGATTTTTTTCTATTTGCAAATAAGGCTTTTATCATTTTTGCTGTATGGGTAGTAGCATTGTCCTGCTGGAATACAAATTATTCACTTGAACTATCTCTAAGAAATACTTGAGAAAGGTCTAAAAGGTAAACAGATGATAACAAAAATGAACAATGAGTGAGGGCAAGGTCTAAAGGTGCAATCTCTTTGCACAAGAAATACTAAAAAAGGACCAAAAGGTACAAAAAATGGCTCCAAAAGGGAACTATGAATAAGGGCAAAGCTATGACCGAAACAATGACATAGCATAACCATCTAGGCTCCAAACTATCAATTTTTCAAGCTGAGATCCATGCACTAGAACTCTGTGCACAAGAAATATTCAAATAATGACTATGAGGTACTCAGACGGTTCTAAAAGGGAACAATGAATGAGGCCAGGGGTTAAAGTCCAAAATTTTGACCTTGTAAACGATTATTATAGTATAAAAATGGATCCAACATGGAACATGGGGTGTGGGCAGGAGTCAAAGACAGAAAATTTTGACCTAACGAAACCTCTAGGCCCGACGTTATCAATTTACCAAGCTGACATCCATTCAAGTAAACTCTGTGAGCAAGAAATATTTACAATAGGATCCAAAAGTACATAAATATACATATTATCAGTCAAGCAGCACTGAAGGCTTTTAACTCAACTACAATTCAAAGATTGCCTTGGAATGGCTAACATATGTCCAGCTCTTGGGAAAATGTAGTCAGATAACTGTGAAAGGACTGCAAGGATACAAGGGGATCTAAGGCAACGGACAGGCTGACAAAATATCAAAAACAGGAACAGCATCACACCCTTTGGACCAGAACCAATCGGCAAATCGGCGTGCCCCAAAGCATGCTTAAAGCGGAACTGAACAACTGGATGGAGAATGAAATGATTACTACATAAATGCACAACCAAAACATTATAGACGTTTTGAACACTTTTCAAAAATATGTAAATATGACATCTACCTAGTAATGACTCTCTAAAGATTTTAGTAAAATAGATGGCAAATAAAGAAAGTTGGTTTTAGTGGATTTTTTTTTTTTTTAAAGAAGTCATATTTTTCTATATTAGTATTGATTTAGTGTGTCACTTATTATTTTATTTTCCAGGGTTTGACGTGGCATCTTTCTTTGACCATAATGGCGTTCTCTACATGCTTCAACATTGTGAAATAAATGTTTCAATAAAAAAACGACTATTGAATTGTTTTAAAATAATACTAAAACTGCAATGTCCATACTTGGAGTGCTACACAAATGAAATTTGGGTAAATTTTATCTCCGAATTTTACCAATTTTTACTTTTATTATCATGTTTATTATGTTTTTCTTTTTATTGTACATATTCAAATTATTATATGAAATTTTTCAAAATGAAAACTGTGTCACAGGCTAGGCTCATTCGAACCCATGATCTTCTAATAAATACTCCAATGCTCTACAAATTAATTGAACTATTGTGATTTCGATCAACATGCCTACTTACCAGGAAAATAAGTGGAAACTGCCTTGCACTCTCTAATAGGCAGGATCGAGAAATCATTATTTAATAATGAATATACACTAGGTTGCTTCTTCGATATCCAAGGGGCTATACTTCTTGCATTATATCAGCATTAGATAATTACAATGTCGACCATCACCTTACTAGATGGGTGAAGACCTACTTGGAGGGGAGGATGGTCAATATGTGCTTAGGTGGTAGCACTCTTAAAATTAATGTAAAAGGAGGCTGTCCACAGGGAGGCTGTTTGTCACCTCTTTTATGGCTAATTACAGTAAACAGCTTAATAGAACTTCTGAATAATTCAGGCTTCTACAGTCAATTATTTTCAGATGATGGTACCATAATGCTCACAGGTAGGGATCCCCTGACTCTTTCACTACTGATGGAAAACGCCATGGGATTACTTTATGGGTGGTGTTGTGACAAAGGTTTATCAATTAATCCTGCTAAACTAGAATTGATAATGTTTAGCAGGAGAAGAACATTACGTAATTTAAAAAAACCCTAAATGTCAGGGCATAGAATTAAAGTTAGTGGATTCAATCAAATTCCTTGGTGTGACACTTGACAGGAAACTTTATTGGAAAGGTCATATTAATAACATATACAGGAAAGGCACCATATCAATGGTACAATGTAGGAGAATTGTCGGTAAAACATGGGGCATCAAACCATGGGTAGCCAAATGGCTATATACTGCAATTATTCTACCTAGATTCTTTTTCGCAGCTTTAGTGTGGTGGAAAGGTCTAGAAAATAAAGGGAATAGTAATAAATGAAGGTCATTTTAAAGACTAGGTTGTTTGATAATGACAGGAGCATTTTAAACTACACCCACCCTAGCACTTGAAATCATAACCAATACCACACCACTTCAAATTGAGGTTAAGATCAGAGCACTAATCAGCTGCTACAGGTTAATTAGCGAGGGCGGCTGGAATCATAAATGCAATAACATAGGTCACTCAAAAATCTCTCAACTATTGAGTAAGGTTAACGGTCAATTATTAAGCGTTAGTGATAAAAAGATTAAATCCCCTTCGGGGAAAAAGCACTTTCAGGTAGTCACCCCTTGTGATTATGATTATAGTCTGGATGATGACCATCGTAACATAGACTGCTGCACAGATGGATCACTTATCAAAGGTAGAGGGAGTGGTGCAGGAATTTACATACCAAAATTAGGAATCAGCATCTCCTCCCCTCTTGGCAATAACACCTCCGTTTTTCAGGCAGAAATCTGCGCCATCATTGTGTGTTGTCGAACACTGATGGAAAATAAAATTATGGGAAAAGATATTAAAATCTTTTCTGACAGTCAGGCTAGTCTTAGGACATTACAAAAAGATTTGTCAACCTCACGACTGGTGGAGGAAACTATAGATCTTATCAATAGGATCTCTTTCAGGTTTGAGAACAAGGTAACCCTTATTTGGATACCTGCACATAAAGGACACCAGGGCAATGAAAAGGCGGATGGCCTAGCCAAAGAAGGTTCTAATACTGTGTTTGTTGGGCCACAACCAGTATTACCCCACTCTATGAGCACAGCGAAAGAGAGTATCAATAACTGGGGCATGAAACAATTCTTAAGGGAGTGGAATTTATCCCCCGGACACAGGCAATCGAAAGAGTTTGTTAAGGCGATCAAACCAGCAGAATTGAAATGGCTATTCTCTATCTCAAGGAAGTGAATTAGGAGGCTGATAGGTATTCTGACGGGCCACTGCCCACTGAGAAGACACCTCTTCGTAATGGGTATCCTACCAGATCCCTTTTGCCGCTTCTGCGAAATAAAAGAAGAAACGGCAAAGCACTACCTCTCAGAATGTGATAGGTATTCTAGGTCTAGATTTGAAATCTTTGAAGGAGAGGACATCACCAAATCACTCCCCGAGATAAAATGGTCCAAAATCTTGGGGTTTGTGAACAAGTCCAAGAGGTTTATGCAGGACACGTGAGCCGACCAAGTCCCGGACCTTTTAGGGATGGGGTACGAGTCTACCCAGGCATTTAACCCCTCGGGTCTTGGTTGCCCACCCTGCATAATATATATAGAAAACTGCAATGTCCATACTTGGAGTGCTACACAAATGAAATTTGGGTAAATTTTGTCTCAGAATTTTACCAATTTTTACTTTTATTATCATGTTTATTATGTTTTTCTTTTTATTGTACATATTCAAATTATTATACGAAATTTTTCAAAATGAAAACTGTGTCACTGGCTAGGCTCATTCGAACCCACGATCTTCTAATAAATACTCCGATGCTCTGCAAATTAATTGAACTACTGTGATTTCGATCAACCACGGTTCGAATACAGCCAGTGACAAAAATTTTTCCTTTCAAAAAATTGTGTATAATAATTTGATTTATCTTAAAATATCTTAGAATATGCAGTTATGTATGTTTTTTATGGAACACTTGGTTCATTAATAATTCTAAGATTTTGTGATTGTTTTTGTATGGTATGACTAGTAAACAATCTTTTAAAGCTTAGATTACTTACAATCGAATTTATACCCATGTCAAAAGCATTGACTTTTGTTCTTTCTTGACTATTTGTTTATATTTATGTTTTAAGTAAATCTTCTTATTAGATTAGGAAAAATTATGTAAAAACAAAATGTTTTCAGACGTTTTTTAATAATTACCTGTATGCAACAAAAGATGAAGAATTTGATGAGAATTTATATTTTGACATATGCAACGCTTTACCCAACTCGAGATGTGAAATAATACAAAATTTCAACCTCTTCATTCATCAAATACTTCCTACTTGTAAGTCAGGAATGGACGCTACATAAATTACTTGTTATAAATTAATCTGTATTTACTAACCATCTTCATAGTAATTATACTTAAGGTGCCAATTAATAGAAAGTTAATTTTCATAAAAATGTTTCCAGTTTATGATAGACGAATTGAAAAAATGAAAATTTTATGCACACTATTGAAATGTTTTCCTGAAAAGAACAGTATGAACAAAGAAGACACAGGATTTATATTTGCTATGCTTATTAGTCAAGATAATTGGAGTAAAGTAAGTCCTTTTTAAGCTCCCAATGTTTTATTCTTTATTTAATTAACGATTGCTACTATTGATTTTTCCCTGTGACATTTCCATTGTAGGATACTGTTCATTTTATCCTAACGAGTTTGCACTTGTTGAAAGGAAACAGTTTTTATCACTCTTTGTTTAACTCACAATTAAAACATATTTTTAATCAAATGACTGAATGGTTGGAAGCTGAGAAGATTTTTAATAGACAAATTGCAGGTTAGTTGGATTTTTATTGACAAATTATGATACTGGGATTTATCACCTTGCATATTGTTTTTATTACTTTATTGTACTTGTCTCTATTTATTTTACCTATTTTACTTTCATTATATATTTTGACTACAATTTAAATTGATAGAAAACTGCTAGTAATATCACTTACACTTCACGATGAGCAATATGTAAAAATGTTGAAGAAGGTTGGTCCTTGATTTAAAGGTAATTGACTATTCACATCTATGGATCACTAATCTGGTGGAACAAAGCTCAATAAAAAGTAGCTACCCAAACATTAGGCAGCATACAAAGACTAGCAAACCTATGTATCACAGGGGCAATGAGAACATCCCTACAAACGCATTAGAAACTTTGCTAAACCTACCTCCACTGGAAATATTCATACAAGGAGAGGCTAGGAAAAGCTCACTTGAGCTCCAGAAACAATTAAATTGGAAAGGAACTAAACATTTCGGCCATACAACCATAATCAACATACAACCATAATGATCCCAGAAACAATCTTCATAACTTCCTATAAAGTCTCAACAGACTATAAAGAAGAGGAAGAACACAGGAGAGCATCAGATACATTGATATGGTAGACAGATGGCTCCAAAACAAACAAAGGAACCGGATCAGGCGTTTTCTGTACAAGCCCAAAATATGAGCAATCAAACTCATTAGGGAAGTACACTTCGGTCTTTCAAGTGGAAATACATGCCATCAATGCTTGTGCCCTGGAAAATCTTAAAAGAGGTTACACTGTCAAAAAAATCCTCATAAGATCAGACAGCCAAGCAGCTATTAAAACATTAGCATGTAAAAGAATCACATCAAAATTACTCAGTGGCATCCAAAATCTCCAAAACCTGGGGTGTTTTGTAGATGCCGGCAGGAGAAAGTATTGGATATCTACCCTCCAAGTCCAGCGCTACCAGGGATAGTTGCCGGCTGTTGCATAAAGATTTGATGGATAAAAAATAGTTTAATAATTCGTTTGATAATTAAATTTATTAATTCACAATTTATGACATAAATACGGAAATTAAAATCTGGCCAGAAACAAAACAAAGTTAATGAATAGATAGAAATATAAATATAGAGAGAGATAAGTTAATACAAAAAATGGCAATGTTGAATAAAAAGAATAAGGACGTTCGTACGTCTTGTTGACTCACGACAGTGAAGATCAAATGATAAATTTATGCTCATCTTGATTGGAGTCTGGGAGCCACTTGCCGGACGAAGTCAAAGATGCGTGCGTTCGTACCCGTCGGAAACCAGAGAGCGACTGACTGAAGAAAGCTGCTGTACGTTCGTGCGTACAGGTTGAAACCCAGGGAGCGACTGGCTGAAGACAGATGTACGTTCATACGTACAGGTCAAAAACCAGGCAGTGACTCGCTCTTTTTACGACGTCTTGCTGAAAATTGACCTGCTTCTCCCTCCAGCGTCTTGATCCTTACAAATTTTTCGTGTTCACAATTCTTCAAAATGATAAATTTAAAATAACAAATGACAATTTCCCAACCAACCATTAATAAATAAAAATGTTTACATTGGTGTAAACATGGGGAAACACAACAACCTGATGATATCTTGGGTGCCAGGGCACAGGGGAATTCTGGGTAACGAGAAAGCAGACAGACTGGCCAGAGGAGGATCTGCAAGGCCATATATAGGCCCTGAACCTATTCTTGGGATAACAAAAACAAATGTAGAATCCTCCATCGCAGAATGGATCCAAGCAAAACAAAAGGAGAAGTGGATAAACTCTAGGTGCTAGACATAGTAAACTTATGATCAAACAACCCTCACCGAGACTGGCAAAAGCACTGCTGCAATTGGAGAGGGCCAAACTCAGAGGAGTGGTAGGACTACTAACCGGTCACTGGTATCTGAGAAAACATCTACACAACATGGGTATATACAGCGATGATCCCATTTGCATATGGATAATGAGGAGGAGGAAACAGCCACTCATATCATCTTCGAATGCGAAGCAACAGCTCAATGGAGATTTAACCTAACGTACGGAAAAGACTTAGAGAATCAAATTGCAGCAGCGACAGTCAATGACCTGATACTTCTAAGAAGAAGGATTGAGTCTATTGACTGAACTAAGGAACTAGGAAGGTGCAATAAGCCAGAAGGCTGCAGTGCCTGGGGAATACAAACCCCGCTTCCTAGTAACCTTTTCCACCATACCATACCATACTATACTATTCACAAATATTTGATGGGATTTGAGGATGTGGTCCAATGAATGCTGTATGTTGAAACTATGTTAAGCTTTCGGTATTTTATTTCACCTTCTTCAGGGCTAGATTCTCAGTCAAGATTGAAAATGATTTTCTTTTATCAATATGTATTTTGTAACATGTAACTTTTTATCTCTTTTTACCACTTTTTACTTTTTTTTCTCTTATGTTTTTTTATCCTAAATATGGTGTTTTTTAATAAATAACTAAATATCACTTTTTACAAATTAATATCACAGATAAAATCAGAAATATAACATAAACAAAGAGGACTCATAGACAAGGAGTCTACATTTCTGATTTTATCTGTGATATTAATTTGTAAAAAGTGATATTTAGTTATTTATTAAAAAAATGTTATATTTCTCAACATTATATCTCCTAAAAAAGGGTTGGGGATGTTGGATATTTGGTGTATTACACCAGTAGCGGGATATTTTGTGCAGCCTCATGCCAGTGCTGACATGCGCCTTCATCTAAAGCAAACCCAATTCTTCTCGTACCTTGGACCCTAATTTGCTCAATTAATTGTCTGTGATTTTTATGATTTTCAATTGACATAATTGTTATTATGCTGTCCTTATAAATAAACAATTATTTTTTTACTCGCATTTGCCATGCTAGCAGTTCTGGGTCCCAACAAAGCACATGGCTTTTTAACCTTTTTGGGACTTGTAACGAGTTCTCTTTTATGGGTTAAAATAATAATGGGTTAAACACGTGCCAGCTCCCCCCCCCCACTCTCAGGAGGGTGTCGGTCAAGCCAGGACATCCGACCAAAAGAACATGCTTGTCAAAACAAATCTATATCTTTGACATTTATTATATGCAAATAACAATATTGTTACTGTTATTATATTAATAGTTTCTTTCCTGCAGTTATTGGCCAGGAACACCTGAGCGGTTGGGATGAGTACCAAGAGTGGAATTCATGGTACGGTCTGGTTTCCCAGATGTGGTAGAACGTTGTTACAATGTGTAACAATGTCGGAGAATTTGACGGGAACCGTCGACCAGACAGATTCAGTTATGTCTGTCCAAATCAAAATTACAACCACCCCCACCTCCACTCAGTCTATAACTGCGCCTACAGCAATAAGTTGTAGATGCCTCCCATTTGTGTGATTATCCAAACAGTTCCAAAAACATGAGTTTAAAAATGAAACCTGGATCTGAAGATATACATATGTTAGACAAGTTCCCAGATTTGATGATGATGATTTGGGATCTGGGAATTTGTGTCCGCCACAATGGATTACAAACAGCAGTAAAACAAGAAAAAAAAAACAAGAAGTGTACATACGCTTGTTTACGTTGCGCTAAATAAATCAGTAATCAGTGTTTATCTTGTTAATATGTTTTAAAATATATAATGAATAATTTTTGAGAAAAATAAATTTTCAATTAAATGCAACATTGTTTTTGTCTTTCCATTTACTTACTTCTGTTAAAAACTATAATATCTGTGGAAAGTACTGCCAAATTATGAACATGAAATTTGATCAGTCTCAAACTTGTAACTATTTGCACTACAATCTTAAATGGATTAGCTTGTTGTTTTGTTACATTGCTAGATTCTTACAAGTAGTTTTATTTAATTTTCTAGATTCCTGGACGTTATTCATCAAGGACAACTTTAAAAAATTCAACACACATATTTTTGGAAACACCCGGTGGTTCACGCAAATGGAAAGAATAGTTAACAGTCCTAATGAAAATATTAAATTTTCATTGAAAGCGCAATGTGCCCAACAGTACTTCAAGTGCCTTCTAAAACAGGATAATGACGATCAGTTGCTGGCAAGTTAATTTCTTCATTTTTAAGTTAACATGAATAATTGTCCTTATTTATATATTCTTATATTTTACACTGAACATATTTCAGTTCGATGATTTTGACAAGTAATTGTGATTTTTCAGCGTTATTATAAAATGTTTCTTAAAGAATTTGAAAACAAACAAGTTCCTTTGAGACTATTCTCAGTTCACTTTTTAAAATTATTCATACCTTGGAAGTACGACACGATTCCACCTGAGGATCAAGTTATTTTTAATGACATGTTGATTAACCATTTGTATTGGAGGTAAATAAACTTATTAAGTACTTTGCAATAGGAAAGAATCTGAACCACCATTTTTACAGATTTTTTTCATTACTGATTTCTAATAAACATACTATCTAGGTTTGGATCTGATGAGTACTCGTTCCCTCTTGGTGACTATTTGGAACTTATGTCATTATTCTTTTTGAAATGTCGAAACTCATTTCATGCAAACTCATTCTTCTACAAAAATATACTTTTTCAAACGATTATGTTATATCCAAAATCTGATTGCAAAGAAGAGCTTGGAAATAATATTATTGCATCTCTTTACATTTTTGACCAACTGTCAGGAAACATCGATAGTATAGGTTTGTTCATTTGTAATCAATCATAAGGGAGTAGGATTCTGTTTAAAAATTGGCTTGTATATAAATCATTCATTTTTAGTACACGGATGTATAATCAAACAGTGTTCTCACAAATGGGTTGGCAATTATGAACAGGAGAAGAAGAAAATTCAGTTTAATACTTATCATCAATATGTTTCTTTCTGGATACATATTATGTGTTTTCAATGCGAAAACACTACAATAGGTAAAACATTTTTGTTTTGTTTTTACTGTTAAAGCAAAAGAAATTATGGTAGTTCATTGTGCCCTTGTTGCAGAAATTCCTCAAAAAGATAGGGACATTTTTTGTCAAAAATTATTGTCATCGTTTATAAAATTGCTTGAACAAGGATTCGAAATGAGTTTAGAATCAGACTTTACGAAGAGTCGAAATGTAAGTAAGAATTGCTTCTATTTATTAAATTCTTCTACAATTTATTAATGTTTAATATACAATTCAGAATTGTTATAGAATATTTTGAATTGTTGAATTTTATGTTTTTATCTTGCACATAATTTTTACATTTATTTGATAGAGATAAAAGGTGAGGTGTAATTTTGAGAATGTTGACTATCATATTAGGCTTTTATAGAAAAATGACAAATTTAAAAATAACTTGTTCCACTATAAACTATAGAACTATGAAAATCCTAGTCACATAGGAACCTAATATAGCTATTAAAAAGTAATATTTTTCATTCAGACTATATATTTTAGTAATAGTAGTAGTAATATTTTTCATGCAGATTATTTATGAGTGAAAAAGTGGTTGTTACATCTACTTTAATCATAATTGGCATCAGGATGTATTGATGTACTATGTGAACATCACTAATTACGATTTATTGGTATTTCATTATCTTAATATTCTTATTTAAATTATCTTTTGCATAAAAAGTAGTACACCCTCATACTAGCCTAACCTTAGCCTAACTCTGCCCTAACACTAACATTACCATAATGCTAACTCTAACCTAACCCAACTTTATCTGTAACCTAACCCAGCTTAACCAAACACTAACTCTAAACTTAACCTAACCTAACTTTTTCCCTAACCTTAACACTAACTTTAAACATAACATTAACTAAAACCCTAACACTAACTCTAACCTACTCCTTTCCTTAACCTTAACACTAACTCAACTCTAACCTAACCTAACTCGTTCGTATCCCTAACACTGACTTTAACCTTAAGCTTAGCCAACACTAACTTTAACCTTTTAAAAACTTTCAACTTTTAAAAAACCTAACCCATTCCTAACACTAACTGGAATCATAACACTAACCCTAACTAATTAACTTAACTTGTTCCTAACCTTAGCGCTAATTTTAACATAACAGTAACTAAACCCTAGAGCCTCTAACCTAACCTAACTTGTCCTTATCCCTAACACTAACTTTAACTCTAACCTTGACCGAACTCTAACACTACCTAACCCTGAACTAACCACGGAATGGATAATGGAATGGTAACAGAATAAACAAGTGTATTTATGTCAAAAAATATCTCACAAAAATGCTAGCTGTAAAGATTATTCTGTTTCAACACACTGGGGTAATGCATAAAATACACGTTGTAAGCGGTACTGTAATCCCCTCATAACGGAAGTGTAGACATGGTGAAACAAAATTTCAGACTGGATGAGTGGTCCATTCTCTCCCAAAAAAAGATGAAAGAAATCACATCCATGTAGCCAGGAAATAATTATGTTTTATAATATATAACAAGGAAAATAATTTCATCATAATAGAAAATAATAGCAAAAATTCACTATTTTAAAACTATAAAATCACTTATAGTGGTAGCTCAGTAGTTCAATAGTACTGTGTTGGTTCATACCGATTGGAATTTTCAGATGTGACTTGAATTCACTTTCTCTTTAATGTATAAAAGTTGTAAAAATTATAAATATGCAATGTTTCAGAGTCAAGAATTCACTGAAAGCACAATTATTTCAACTTACAATGTAAATGTAACCATTTTTGAAAATTTTTCTGTGTTATTCTGCTGTGTTGTCAATGAAATTTGTGAAAAAATACCAGTTCCTGTGATTGCTGATTTGTTTAACAAAGTGACTAGCATGTCAAGGAGAAATCCTGACATCTATGGTTTATATGCCATTACGGCGACTTGTTTAAACATTATGAAGAAACACAGCTATATATTAGTAAGTTGAATTTTTGCAAGTATTATGAATACAACTTTTTCAATGAAACATTGAGGACGAACAATTGCAAATTTTCAGAATTTTGAATTAAGTAATGACTTGTTTAATATAAACCAAATTACATTTGAGTATTTTAACCATTTATTCCAAAACGGAAAAACATTTGATGAGAAGTTGTTAGAGACACTAGAGACAATTATCTCAATTCCTGTGAAGTTAGTGCCATATTTTTCCCCTGAATTGCTTATATTTTTCAAGGTGAGTTTTTTTTTCAACAACCTTATAAACAAATACTTTATATTCTTATATGTCTCTCTTTGCTTTTAGAATATTTTTTACAATCATTTCTATGGTTCGGAACCAGTTTACAAAAGTTTAAATGCTATACATTCATGGATTACAATTCTTGGACTAGGACAACTGGAAAATTTTCTTAGAGACCTCATACCTTCTTTTAGAAAATTTATATTCCAACTTGAAAGTGGTAAGTAAATAGGAATAAGATTTGTTTGACATGCTAAATAAATTATGAATTACATATTATGGATACTTTTGGAATTTCCAATTGAGGTCTGACAGGCGATGCAATTTGGTCGTTTCCAATCATTTTGGTCTACCTATCCTCACAGCTTTTGGGCTGACATTCCACTGAAGATAACAAGACAACAGAAACACTTCTGACAGACCGAAACAGTGATGATTGGTGGACAAAAAAATTAAATAAAGTTAATACAAATGTATAGTGTGTAATAATGATGGTTGATTATTTCACTAGTTAGTTGATTAAAAATAGGACATTAACTTAAATTGTTTTTAAAATCATTTAGTTGTTGCGTGGTAGGCAAAACAACTAATCACATAATGATTTTCACCGTTGTATATTTTAATTACAGATGTTGATGATAAAATATTTAAGCATACGTCCAATTCTTATAATTGTATCATTAAGCTTTTGGCCTTATTTCCACAAAACCTGTGCTGCCACTTGTTTGATCAAGATCCATTGGCAGAAGTTCAATCTTCATACCGGCTGAGTTTACATGTGCCATCAAAAAAACTTATGGGACTATCCTTCCAAATAGGTAATTATTTGCAGGATCTAGCTCTACTTTTATTGAGTTTTGTTCTTAAACTGAAATAAAATTCACACACATTTTTTCTCTCCTTCATGGAAAAACTTTAAGTCATGGAAATAAAACCTAACCCATTCCTAACATAACCTAACCCAACCCTAACTCTGTCCCTTAACCTAACCAAACCAATGGTGTGAAAATAGTCATGCAACAACTTGTGTATCCAGCCCAAAAACATCTTGATCTATTTTCTATTTCAGATTGCATTATACCACGTGTCATATTACTTGTGAGTGAAACTGCCAATGGAAAACTAAAGCAATCCTCTTGTGAGCTACTTCATTCACTTTGTGTATTCTGTTTAGGCACAAGTGAGGCAGAACTAACTTTTGCATGCACTGTTATTTATACTAATTTACAATGAAATTTTAGGTTCACAGTTGGATCTGTTACACAGTACAAATTTTAAAATCTTACTCAACAGTATAATTGAGACCATGATTTCAACTTCATATCGCTCTGACGGAGTAGTTTACGAAATGTTCAAATGCTTGCTTTTTGAAATCTGCCATCTCTTTGCGACAAGGCTTCATTATTATAGTAATTTTGCAAGCTCTTTTATTGACATTATACTGGTATGTTATTTTAAATTGGTTACTCACATAAAGTTAACTTACGTTTAACAAAATGAATTGGGAACTAACAAATGCTACCACCGTTTTTAATGAAAGTTTCGTGCTACTAGGTCAAAAAAAAAAAAAATAGCGTTCTTGCTAATGTGACCTAGGAGCCAAAGTAATTGATTATATATCATTTGATTCATTTTTTTATGTAGGATAAAAAACAATAAGCAAGATTGTATTAAAACAGATAAGATATATAAAAAGTTACACAAATGTAAAGACGCTTTCACTCTTAATAAACTAGGTAAAAAAATCCAGATTCATTTTAAGCACTCTTTAAAGCCATTAAATATGAATTTTCACAGCAATAAAACTATAAACATTTTTGTGCTTGATTCACCAGAGGCAGTTGTTTTTCTTGCTTTTGTCCAGTGTGCCACATAAAAATTCATATCATCTCTTCATTTTATTCATTCATCTCTCGATTTTATTCAAATTCAATATTATTACAACCAATGAAAAGCTGAATGTTTTTACTTTCAGCTCATGGCAACAACGTTTAGCTTTTAAGTTTTCAAATGTTTTATTTTATATCTTTGGTTTTAATTTATTCAGAAGCCAAATTTATGCCATTACGTGTAGTTTATTAGCTTCTAGACTCCGGTGAAACGTTTTATCACAGGTAGAGATGTTTCAAAGTTTACAATTTGAAACAACAAGAACAATTTGAGCAAACAATTTTTTTGTACGTTCCCTAATATTAGTATTTTGGTGTTTTTTGGGGTGCAGAAAATACAAATCAACTTCGTTTCTTGCTTAAAAAAAGGATACAACAGTGTTTTATGTTTGTTAAACGTTTCCCAATATTTTCTCATTTCCAGAGAGGACTGTCGAATGAAGTCACTTCAGGTGCAAAGAAGTTAAGCATGAAGTGCATGAACGAATTTATCACCTGGACATCAAAAAGTGAAAACAATGATATCATTCTTAATAACAGTCGAGAACTTGTAACAAAACAAATTTGCTATTATTTCCTTCATGGCTGTACAAACAGAAGGAGGGGTTAGTATTTTCATTAAGTTTGTCAATTTTTCATTTATATTAATGCTTTCATCTTCACAAACACAGGCATAGACACAAAAGAACAGTTTAATTTTAAATGTACTGAAATTCGAGGGGAATGTAGTGGCCAAGTGGTTCGGGTGTTACAATACAATACAATACCTTATGTGTAGAGATTAGTGACCGTTAATAGATAGTTACTCAGATATCGTGAGATGTGGTGGGGGGGGGCGACCGCATCTCACGATATCTGAATAACAATACCCAATACTTTATTAGAATTGATACAAACAAAAAAATAGAACTACTGATATAAAGTATAATAAGCATAGCTAATAGCTGTCTGCTGAGTTTTTTACTGCATAAATATTAAAACAAAAAATTCGAAGAGAAAATTAACATATAGCAGGTGTATAAATCATAATAGATGGAAATATGAGAAAAAAGAAGAAAACAAAAAGAATTAAATAAGAACGAATTACCTTTTGAGAATTGATAGAGTACTAAAAAATAAAGCAGTAAAAGTAAAAGTATATTTTTACATATAGGGACAATTAGTGCATATCTGAAAGCCACTCGTATCTCACTCTCCAGGCATGCCGAGCAAAGGAAATTAGCGGTAAAGGGGATACTTGGTTAGAAAGATATTCCAGTATTTCAACTCTGGAGATGACCGTCTTACCCAAGTAAGATACCCGCAATTCTGAGAGAAGAGAGCAGACTCCCAAAAAGTGATATGAATCTTCCCTGGCGTGGCTGTTACAAAGTGGACAAGTTTCATCTTGAGGATCATTCAAAACCCAGTTGTGACTAATATTGGCCACATTAGTGGTTCTGGGTTCGAATTCCAGCAAAGCCCATGGCTTTTTAATTGTATATAAACATGAAGAAAGTATTGTAAAGTGGTTTGACCTCTCGTCCGCAATACCTGACTGGTCGCACACTGGAACTGACTAAATCTGACTGTGAGTGCGGACTTGATACTCATCTAATGTGACCTCTCACATTGGAACAGACTTGTCAGAGCCATTTATCCATCAGTTGTAGTTGTTACGTTGTTGACATAAATTTGGAATGATTTTTTTTTCAATTTTTTAAAAAGATTTTTTAATATTTTAGAATCAATTTATTGAATAAAACGAATTACTTATTTTTGCGTCCATGGCTACTCAATAAAACATTGAAACAACTAAACACCGAAATGTGCACTATGACTTTGCATCCTCTGAGAGTAGAAATCTGCGAAAAGTGAGAATTTGTGTGAAAATTTGTGGACGATCGCAAACACAAGTCGATGCTCTCACTTTTTTCCAAAGTTTTTTGTCTATTTTATTTAAAAAAATATTAACTATAGTTGCAAGAAGTGAATGGATCTAAAATATGTAGTTCAGATTTTTATTGCGAACAGGTCCTCTAAGCCCGTCATGGAAAGAAAATACTATTCTTCTTAGATGCGACGTCTGCTGGACTCAAAAATTCCCACCTTGCTAGCATCGAGTCACAGATCAAAATGACATGGTCATTTCCCTAGGTTGGGAATGTTTGTGCAAAGTTGGGCATATCTGGACGTTTAAAAATCGGAAATAGTCGGTTCCATTGTGAGAAGCCTGTTAGTTGGACATTAAGCCAAGATGATAAGACTCCAGGATTCTTCTCAAATTTTTTACCCAGCAGACCCCTTTCACAGAACAAAATCCTGGGCCGGACCCCTCTCATTCAAATATTTAAAATTACATACTTATAGCCTGTAGTAAATTAAAGTTTTATTACTTAGCCAGTCCATTCCTAATTAGGTTATGGAGGGGATATCACTTGAAAAAATGAACATTAGATTGACATACTTATCTTTGATTAATGAATTAATGGGAAGAGTGAGGTTTTTTATCCTGCACAATTTGGATATGTTGGATTTCATTTTTAATACATAGAGATGGATGTCGGGTTCAGCATCTAGACGGCTTCGGTATTTTTAGCTTAATGGCTGTATAGATAGAAAATCCGGATTCTCATAGCTAAGTTGTGGCTAATAAAAGAACACATTTTGCTTTTTCAATGAGCGGTTGAAATTTTTTGTTATCCAGATGGAGCCAAAAATGGGGTAAGTACCAGACTCGAAAGTAGATTTCAAAAAGTGGAGTCTGAAGTAATGTCTATCAAACATTCGTATTCACTTGAAGATAGACTGGTTGGATTTGTCGGAACTGAAACCACCTATGGTCTTGCAGCATTGTATGATAATGTATGATGCATTGTAACTCAAGCAGTTGGGAAGTGTGCACAAGAGACATCGCCAAATTTTGAAGGTGTTCATATATTTCATCAATAAACTCATTGTTCGCAAGCTTCAGTTTGTTTGCTTTTAAAAATTGTTTAACACAGGAAAACACTACACTTCTTCCTTCTCAACAGATTCATCCCAAAACTGGATTTTTCTTTTGAAGGCGTGAACTTTGTCATTAGCATCGAAAGTTATGATGCAAAGAAAGACTAGTTTCATTAATTTCATGAAAATATCTGATAAATACGACAGTTTATTTACAAGGGTGGAGCAATTTTGCCATTTCTCATCATTGAATACTTTGGCCAATTTGACGTTGTGGTCCATCAACAGAGATAAGACTTCAAAACATAATTCTTGTAATCGGGAAAGTGATTTTCCACTTTTCTCTGTTTGGAGAAGCAGGGAATGATGAAGACTTCCCATATTATCACATAGTATTGTGAAAAGCATCGACTAGATATAATTAATAATTTGAACAGGCTCATCTGTAATGAAAGTTTCAGATGAAGAATGAGAAAATGAATTGTGTTGGATGCGAGAAACCAGTGATTCTTTTACATCATTTGAAAAATCAAGTATCCATCTTTTGACAGTATTTTTTGATAAGGGCTATGGTTTTATGAGGGTTTCAGCGATAGTATGAACCTTTACTTGCCTGTGCCACTTGATAAATTATCCATCAGTGAGCTTTTATTGAGTTTCATTTACATTTTTTGCACGAGTTTTAATGAAGATTTGAGAAGCAGCCTGTTAAGTGCTCTTCCTCATGAAAAAATCGGTCTGTTTCTCCCGAGTTCTGGGTGTGTACCCTCAAAATGGAGACACAATTTAAACGGAACCATTGAACTGTTTTGAAGCACTTTCCCACAAAGCACAAACTAAGCATTACTCTACATCTAATACCTTTTAAATATTCCAGTTCCACTCGCTATTTGACCGGTACTTATTTCCAAGACTTGTAGCATTTGAGCATGCTAGATCCAGTGCCAAAATTAAATTTCTAGGAAACTATCTGTCTCACTTACCTTGCCTATATTGCTTACATGTGCAAAAAGAAACATAGAATGAATAAATAAAAATAAAAAATTTTCCGTTGCATTGCTATTAGTTTTTAATTTTATTTATTCATTCTACATTATTTTTGTAATTATTAATTTTTCTCGAAGTTCGCCGGGTACCACTGTTAGGGAAGTCCTGACTTACACTGAAATTTGCCAAATTACAAAGAAGACAAATTATTTAAATATGCTTTAAAAAAAGGAAATACTTATTTTAGAAATTATATAACTTATAATTAGTCGAAAGCTAAGTGGATGTAGAATTTTTTTTTAATTATTTCAGGGGCAGCCATAGCTTTTAATTGTATTGCCGAAACAGTTCTTAAGGAAAGAGATTACGTTAACAAATACAGCATTTACATTATATTCTACATGATAACAAGTTTAGAAACTTACGATGAAAAAAATAACGAAATGAGAACTTTTTTGGAATTGTTACAAATTGCTGTAGTCGATTTTTTTGAACCCGATGTAAGTCTATTCTAGTCACATGAGATTTAAAAAAAAATTATATTTATTATTTTTAGTCGTTCAGAGAGAGGCTACATCCGGAAGGAATTGAAGATACAACCATGCAATGTCTTTTAAAGTGGCTACTTGGAAAGTGTACTTCATACAGTTATGAGTGTCGTAATAGTTGTATTAAATTGATAAATCTATTTAGTGATCATTACAAAGGTGACATTGCCATTATTTTTGTGCTTAATGTTTAAAAAAAAAAAAATTAAGTACCAATAACGCATATTTTGTTTCACAGATGCAATAGACATATCTCATTTGTTTTCTGATAATGATAAAACTTACCTTAGTCAATTTATGAAAATCATTGATATGGAGCCTCCAAGGCAAGGTGATGATTTATTAAAATGGCTGTCAACTTTGAACATTGTGTTGGAATATTTGGAATTTCATCTTAGTAAAGTTGGCTCAAATCCACCTTTGCTAGAGTAAGTAGAACAAAAAAGTTCAGATTAAATTCTCAATAAACAACAAATTGAGGTAGTGGTATGATAAAATTTAGTTTGATTTTTGTTTTGGGTTAGTAAAAATGATTATACAGGGTGAATTTAACTTCAGTTTCCCCAATTTTTTAATTAATTTTTTTTTTTATTGGGGCATTTTTAGGAAAACCCCGAGAAAAATGAACGTTTATTTTTTGTCTAGTTTCTGATAAGTTAAAAAGTTCTGAGTGTATTCTCCAGGATAGCAGGACATGGTTAAGAAATTAACTATTTCAAAGATACACATGAAGGTACAGGTCTTTATGGAAGGTTTGTTGAGGCTGAATTCAAAGTGCAATTTGGAGTTCTTAAGTTATTCACTAAAAAACAAAGTGAACTACTATTCAACTGTAATAGTTTCATCTTGATTCAACAATACAGGCCCAACCCTGAATCCTGTTTATTAGGAACAGAGCCCCGGAGGTCTTTTTTGAACCTGAATACAAACCAGTCAGGTGTTTTTTTATAATACAATTTAATCTGAGTTTCCGACAGTTTATTAATTACTCAAGAAATTAACAATTAACACAAGATAAGTTTCCTTTTTAGGTTTTAAAACAGACAATTAAAATTTTTTAAATTTAAATAAACAGGAATTTCATGCAGATCATTTGGAACAAGGGTGGATGGGTACTAGTTATGTCAATACTCTTTTTTAGGGATTCTAACACTTTTATACTCCTTTTTAGGATCTCACACCTTTTTGTCTCTCATCTTTAAGAAATGGGCTGGATCCCTCTATTGTCTGTCCCCTAATAGTGCGGATTATTTTTTATTTTTTACTCTAGGACTAATCATGCAGTCTAAATCACAAAGTTGCCACTGTGAAATAAATTGAAATGTGACATAACTATTTAAACCATTTAAAAAACTACTATTTCCAAGCATTGTTTTTTGGGCCACAAAACCTTTTCCAACTTCTTCAACCAAGAACGAATTTATTTATTTATCATTTTAATTGATAGTCAATTAATTGTTCATGTAATTGGAAGAAAATTTTTGCAAAAATTTTCTCAAATAACATCGATTAATAGGATGCTCTGGATATAGCTCATTAAAGTGCAAATCAGCCAGGTGCAAATTTCTGTCTACTTTACCCAACAGTGAGAACCATCTCCACTTTTTCTTGTAATGTACCAAGCACTTTTATGATATGCACAATAAGTCAAACAACTTAAAAACATAACTCTAGTGTGATGGCTTTTAAGGCAAGTGTTAACTATGGGTTAAAACATTTTAATCACTTTTTTTGGGGGGGGGGGATTACTCAAAAGCCTCAAGATTCAACAAAAAAATTTACATTTATGTTTTGTTTATTAAACATTAATTCCTTCAAATTTGTGTTTTTGAACTGAAATTTACACCAGGCTAAATAGTTAATGAGCTATGTCCAGAACTAGTCCTGTTAGTCTGTGTTATTTAATGAAATCGTTGCGATGCTTGGAAATATGTGAAACAATTAATTTTCTATCAATGAAAAATTTGTACATGTTATATGTATAATTAAATATATGTTGTATTACATATTATCGTTAGCAACATGCAGAATATATTCATTGATTCCAGAGTCTACTAGGTCTAGAAAAAAATGTATTTAACATCTCTGAAGTAATGAGCAACGATGCACTGGGAATATTCTTATTCTTGCTTATGCATCAAACGATTAAAAAAAAAAAAAAAAAAAAAAAAAGCTGCATAAAGTTGTGATTATAATAATAGTATGTATTATTGTCGATAAATATCAAGTAGTCATTGCTGGCCCATTGCACTTTAAACAGATTTTTTTTTCTTAAGTGTATCTTTGTCACTGACTATCTTATCTCCTGATTTCTTAATTTGCTAACCTCTCGGAGGTACCTCAGGTTGTCAAATTATTATTAACAGAATAATAAAACACATAACACATAAATGTTTTCACTTTTCCCACTTCCCCCAGAAACACCGCTAGTGATGGGAGCCCTGCCTCCTGCTGAAACACCCCCCAAAATACGCCGGTGAAGAGCCGACAAACATCGCCCCTGAAAACATGCAGTGGCCTCCTAGCAAGATAGCTGGAGGCACACATCCGGCATCGTGGTACTAGATATTCCGAAGACATTGATATCCTTTCACCTCCCATAATAGGCCAGAATGGTTACATTCACTCTCATATTCCTTGTGGCGGGTTTAAATCCTCCATTCATGCTGATAAATTACTTTCCCTCTCCTGACAACACACTCTCACCCCAGAATACTTGATGTTAAGGTACTGAAACAATGTGCCTGCTGCCATGCTGTAATGCCAAGCGTTGGTCAGCAGGAACTCTGAAGCTCATCCTGCAGGCTTGTAATTTTTTGAATTGTAAAATATGCCCAACGCTTAAACTTCCAGAACAATGGGAAATGACAAGGTCTCTTTTTCACCAGCAAGTGCTTATGTGTAAGCCTAGTACGACCTATGTGTAACCTGGTAAGTATGGCCTTTTCCCTTTTTGACCAGGCCTCTGTAGACCAGGGACCAATGCCAGTTCTACGGTAAATTGGCAGAAGTCTGTCAATTTTTCCATTTATCTTTTACATTATGGAGAATATAAAAATGACTTTTTTTCAACTTTAACCTAAAATCAAGTATTTTACCTCAACTAAGGCTTGTGGTTATTTTTAGGTTGATTTCAAAATCAATTCATGGCTTCTTTGGGGTGCTGGACAATTTAGAAGGGCATGACGACTTCGCATGCAATATACCGAATGAAATGGTGAACAAAAACAAAATGAAACATTTGTGGTATAAGCGCAGCATAACATCAAATATTGCAAGAATATTTGCAAATGATTCAAACTTATTAGAAATCACTGTTAATTCTAATCCCAGTTCACTTATCAACTTTATATGCATGTGAGTTACCAAAATGCCATTGTTTAGTAAAATTATACTATAATTTGTATTAATTCATTTAGATTTAATTTAACATTTTAGGTATTTTACTTGCCCTTTAAAGGTTGGGTATTTCGGACACCACGCTCATCTAGAATTGGCAAATATAGTGAAAATAGTACAAAACTTGTCGATTGTGAAAAGTACTTTGCTGAATCAACTAGTCCAAAAGTATAATGAGACTGTTGATTTGGTATTGAACACACTGCAAAGTTATTCCTGCCCCACGCAAGAATATTTTGACCTCCTTTCTAAGCTGGAGTTTTTATTTCGAGAGACAAATAAATACGACATAATAAAGGTAAGAGCGTACTTACTAGGTTTGGCAGTCTTTGTGTGCTGCCTAATGTTTTGTAGCTTGTTTTTGCTGAGCTTTTGTCCACCAGATTAGTGAACTGAGATTTGCCTAAAATTCTTGTGGTCAATAGCGATATTTTGCTTTTTGTTATGATATGCTGTAGGTGAAGGTTTTTGAATTTTTTACGAAGATTATCCCTAGGTATTTAATTTTGGTTTTTAACTGCAGGATTTCATTATAGGAACTTAGGCCTTGTATTGCTATGTTTATTTTCTTGGTAAATGCAATTATTATAGTTTTGTGATGAGAGTTTGCTTCAAGATCCCATTGTGAACATCATTGCTTTACCATGGGGCTTCTCAAATTGTGACCCCTTGAGGGTCCGCAGTGAACTTTGAGAAAAATTAATAATTTCATAAAGAAATGTAAAACGAATAAATAAAACTAAAAACTAATAACAATGAGTTCTGAAAAAGCAAAAGAGGTAAGGTAAGTGAGATGGATGTGACTAGACTAGTCTGTCAATCGGTTTCTTACTCCGAATTTCATTGTTGATACTGGGGTCCTTCACCGGGAACAGCTGTTTCTGGAACACCCTGGATTTTTGCAGTGTCATATAAAAAGCCGTTGTTTTTTGAAAATCTGATTCAAGCTCAAACTAATCTCGCGAGTGCACTACCTATTTGTGCCATTCTCGTTAATCAGTTATTTACTCCAATATGGATCGGTGGCTGAAGTCAGGATCTCTGAGGAAGCATGTAGTTTCTTCATCACCTACACAGCCAGCGAAGCGCCAAATTGGAATAGATGAGGCAAAAGGACACCTTCTGATGAGGATATTACTGACGACAAACCAAATGAAGAACAGGCTTCAGATGAAGCGCCTCAGCAGGATCCAGCATGCTCAAATTATAAAAGTCACCGAATAGGTGCAGGACAAATAGCCAGTGGAAGTGGAATATCTAAAAAGCATTAGTACCATGACAACTACTTATATTTGGGATTTATAGAGGTTGATGAGAGTAAAGCTCAGTGTGTGATTTACGCGAAAGTCCTTCCAAACAGTTAGTTCATTCAACGGTTCCAGTTAAATTGCGTCATTTTGAGGGTATGGGTATCAGAACTCCGGGTAAAACAGACTTTTTTCTTTTCTGGGAGTGCACTGAACTAGGTGCTTCTCAAAAATTAAAACTTGCAAAAACGATTAATGAAAATTCACTACTTGATAAGTTATCGAGTGGCACAGGCAGGTAAAGCTCATACCATTGCTGAAACCCTTATAAACCATCTGTTAATAATATTGTATCTTGCATGCTTGACGAAAAACAGTAAAACTTATACATTTAGTGCCATTATGAAACAATACTGTCAAAAGACGGATACGTGATTTTTCAAATGTTGTAAAAGAATCACTGGTTTCTCGCAGCTAACATAATTTTCTCTCCAAATCGACGAATCCACTGATGTTGTTGTGTTGGCTATTTTATTGGCTTTTGTCCGTTATGAATACTTGGGATGTTTCGAGGAGGATCTTCTCCTGTGCAAACCACTTCCTGTCAATGCAGCAGGTGCCAAAATATTCCGTTCGTTGGACGATTTTTTTTGCAACTAACAAAATTTCATGGTTTAATTGCATAGATGTGTGCACAGATAGTGCAAATGCAATGACAGGCTGAACCATTGGAGTGTTTACTAAAACAAAAGATAAATTGAATGATTGCAGCAACAGTCGTGTTTTCCACAGACATGCTTTAGCATATTATCACCTTAAAAATAAAATAAAATATCCATATATGTTTTATATATTGATTTCTATTTGTATGAATTTAAAAAATTGTTTTCTGCTGATTCAGGCTTGGAAATGGTCTCCTCTCAGGATTATGAATTATTTGAAACAATTGGTAATTAATGGAAAAATTAAATCAAATCAAATTAATTACCAAGCAAGAAAATTGTTATCTAAAATACTCGATTTTTCAATTTCACTGACACCTCAAAATGTAAGTTTGCTTGTTAAAATGTAATTTTTATTGTCATAGTTTGACATAAATGTACTTATTATGTATGACATGTTTATATAATTTAATTTTTAACTTTTCCAGACATCTTGGTTTTGGAACCTTTTCTGTTTTAACGAAGGCTCTATGTTGGAAAATTACTGGTTGATGACCGAGTTTGATTTTTTTTTAATATTTAAGGATGTGTTTTGCAGTTACATTGTTCAAAATTTTGATGAATCATCCGTCGGAAATTTAAATTCTGCAAAATTGGTCATTATTAAAGAAGTATTGGAATGGGCTAACAAGGACCAACCTTGCAACACAATTGGGTAAGTCCTTTCTAATTAAAATAAAAGTGTTACAAAAATATTAACTTAGATTTCTATCGATTTTATTAATTAATTTGATTGTTCTATTATACTCATTCCTGTTTAGTATTGGAAATGCTGTATTAAAGTATTTTATCAATCAGTGGAGAGATACGGAAAAGTGGCTGGAAATGCATTCATCGAAGAAAAACGACATTCTCGACTTTCTCTATGTTTTGGTGAAAACCATGCATGTTTGTTTTTATGGCAAATCAAAATTGGGAAATTGGATTTGGTCGGAATTCGATTTTACCAATATCAATTATATAAAACTGCTTCCTTATGTTGTTTCATCCTCTTCTTATCTATTGTAAGTATGCTTTTGTTAATATCAATATAAAAACACAACAGTTAAGAAATTTGCCCAAAAATAAAGCTTAAAAAAAAACCTTAACCTCAATATATTTTTGCAATTATTGTAACTCATTGTAAAGTTAGCTAGGAGATTAAAGCAGAAAATGGCCCATTGGCTGTATATGACAGTAATAAAGTTCCCATATCTGATAACCAAAACTCAGCAAAAACAAGCTGAACAAACATTAGGCAGCATACAAAGGCTGGCAAACCTTTGCATCTCAGTGGCAATGAAAACAACCTTGATTGTACTAAAAAAACTGCTAAACCTACCTCAATTGGAAATATTTATACCAGGAGAAGCAAGGAAAAGCTCATGTAGCTTCTAGAAGCAATCAAAGTGGATAGAAACTAAACATTTCGGGCACACATCAGTAATTAATAAAATCAGACACCAATTCTTGTAAATGGGGACTGAATACATGATTCTGGAAACACTCTTTACATCCTAAAAGGTTCAGCAGACTACATAGGAGAAAAAGAATGCAGCAGGTAATCAGGTAGAATTGTATGGTATATAGATAGCTCAAAACAAATGAAGGAATCATCAGGCATTTTCTCTCTAAGCCCAGAAATATGAGCAATCAAACTCATTAGGGAAGTAATATTGTTCTTTCAAGCTGAAATAGATGTCATCAATGCTTGTGCCTTAGATAATCTTAAAAGAACAAAGCTTTTGAAACATTAGCATATAAAAATTAGTCAGTGAAAGCATCCAAAATGTCAAAAACCTGGGGATATGCAGCAACCTGATGATGCTTCATGTGAAAGTACCACCCCTAGTGATTTGTACTTTTCAGAAGATGAAATTTTGATTTGGAAGATGCAAAGTGCTCTCTTCTTAATTTGCCTTTTCCTCTCAAGGTTGGCAATCCAAACAGCTAGCTTTTCCTTGCCGGTCCCTGAAAACATCCATAGACGAGCACTCAAGGCACTGCCTCAAGTTCAGCCAAAAGTTCTGCCTCCTTCCAATGGAACGCTTCCCCAGTAATAACCTAAGCTATTCATAACGGGCTTCACGCATCACATATCCAGTATATTTTTCTTTATTTGATCGTGAGAAGATCTTCTCTGGGCTTTCCACATCTTGTTTGTAACCATATGGATATAAGATATGCGGGAGTAAAAATGAGTTATTTCATTTAAATGTTATAAGTGTTGTTGGAATCCTTTAAATCAATTTCATGCTGAGAAACAATTCTTGTAACGACTCATTACTTTTCATTTTTATCTTTGAAAAAGGGGCATTTTTAAGCAAATCCCATGTTGTTAAACTAGATTTACCGTGAATAAAAAGCTTTGTCAAACCGCTTAAAGTCTTTTTGGCATTAATGAGGCAATGCAGATCACCCCTATTTATTATTTTTGCCAACCCTTATGATGAACCATAAAGCCAACTGCCAACTGGTCGTTGCTATACCTATCAAATATTTTTTTTCCGACTGTTAATTTTATTTTATTTGGCAGAATTACAAAACTTAAAAACAGCAGCTGTACCGAAACTTTATTTCAAGAAAAATTATGGAACGGTTTTAAATGTTCTGCCAACACCAGTTTGATCGCTTTTATCATTTCAAACACTCTAAAGGAGAAAGGTGAAGCACACTTCTCTACACATGACATATCGAATATGCTTTCGAGGTAACCGATAAATGCAACACTATTTCAAATTGTTAAATAAATTTTTTTTTTTTTTTTTAAATAACAATCTCCAATTTAAGGATGCCAAAAGAAACAGAAAACACTTTGATTTGTGATAGCTACAATGCGATCTTGTGGAACGATGGTGATTTGGAAAAAAGATTACATCTATTGAAAAATATATTCGTCCCTTTATGCTATAAGGCAGGTTTAGAATCCATAACAAGATTTTATGTAGAGAAACTTAAAGAATTAAATACGATAATATCAACAGACATTATTCAATCTGTTGCTCCTCCTAACGAGGTAAAATTAAAACTAAATATTTTTCATGTAATATTTATCAGAGATTTATTTGTATCTTTAGGAGGAAAAAAGTCTCATCAGTAAAAAGACTATAGCCTTTATTATTCTAGAGACTATGTTTGGAGTTCTCAAAATTGAATATGTTCTCAAATGTATAAAGCAAGGATTTAAAACTGACAATGCAAGAAATTTGGTTAAACAAATGCTTCTTAGGTATTTAATACAACATTTATCCTATGTATTAACAATATTAAGAATTCACTAATTTCATGGTCTGCTTGACCAATTAATACATTACAATTCATTAAGGTTTTTAGTTGAGATGAAAAAAAGTTAATGGCATGAGTGGGATTCGAACCCACGATCTTCAGCTAGATACGCCGCTGCTCTACCACTTGAGCTATCGTGACCTCGATCCACTCGGACATCAACTTCCTATCTCAACCCCACCGTTTGATTACATGACATTTGAAAAATGGCAAAAAGGAGGGAAACTCATAAGGTGGGGTTGAGGTAGGAAGTTGATGTCTGAGTGGATTGAGGTCACGATAGCTCAAGTGGTAGAGCAGCGGCGTATCTAGCCGAAGATCGTGGGTTCGAATCCCTCTCGTGCCATTAACTTTTTTTCATCTCAACTAAAAACCTTAATTAATTGTAAATATTAAGAAGAATAATATTAAACAATGTGCAATCTGGGGAGGATTCATCTTACCTCATGTGTACGGACTCTTAAGTGTGTTGCTAGCTGTAAAAGACCGATCCTCTGGTCATCCTTCTGTTAAAGATACGCTTAGTTAGAGAATCTCGGAAAAAGGTAGTTGTCTGGGTACTTAGACATGTCGGGCTGTAGTGACTGACTGACAAATGTGCGGAACCTTACTATAACAATCTGACCCACTGATGCTAAACGAATAAAGAATAGAATACAGAAAGAGTGGCCTGGTGGATCAGTGGACCTCGAGATGCTCTTGCACGTCGGTCGATAGGAGGCTCCAAAAGAATATAAACTACGGAAATATTATCCTAAGCTGACATTGACCAGGCTGACAGCCTGGGTCCCACTTAATTGAAGGGTGTCATTCTTTGGCTCAAAATAGAGCGTCTAAGAATGCTATCCAATATGATATACTTGATCAAAGCAGCGAGTCTTTGGGTCCACTGTAATTTTTGGAGGAAACAGGCTGTTTTATTGTATGCATTATTTTATAGGCATCTTGTTATGTATTCATTAAGAGTGAATGTATTTATTAGTGTGAATTTATAGTGTGAAAGGGTGTGTTTGAGCACGGCAGCTAATCTTTTGTGTCCCCTGTTGTGATTTTTGTATGAAACCGAGGTATTTTTGTATATATATTCTTTTACTGCAGTTGATTTTTTGGCGAGGTTCCTCGTTCTCAAGTTTGATCAAAAGTTAAGATGGCAGTTACATATTGACGTCTTTGAGGTGAAAAGAAGGCAAGTTATAACATTATTAAAGTTCATTGGTCAATTCAAGTGGGGTTGGGAGCAGACAGAGAAAAAATGTTTGAATTTTGCTGCTGTGTTCGACCTTGTTTGGTTGCATGGCCTATTTTTAGCCTGAAAAATGCCCCTGAAGAAGCTCTAAAAAAAAAGTAAGCCCAGTTGAAAGTATGTTGGTAAGTCCCAGGATTTAGGGCCACTGGATACCAACACATTAATTGTTGCGGCCCCTGACACTCTCATCGAGCCTCAATTAGTTTATTTAGTATGAATGTAGCTGTTTTTATGTCTACTATTGAGTACTCCATCAACCTACTTGGGTGCATGTAAATAAAAAACTATTTAAGAAAAAGTGATTGGGTTTAGGTTAAAACTAGAGGGCTGAAAAGACCTTGTTGTTGGCAGCTCCCGGAGCCTACGTGGTACAAATAAGACGTATGTCCCCATACCACCAAAACACCAGAGTAGGTGAAAACCACAGGTTTTATTCTGCACATACATTCACACAAGCATATTGAAATGAATAGACAATTTGTAATGTAACTATACACAAGAGACATTAAGTTGCTTTATTATCTTTATTTATTTCCAGATGTTTTGTTTTCAATAAATCTATAGTAAAATTTCTATCAAAATGAAAATAGTTTGATAGATACGTTCCTTAAAAAATATCCCCTGGATTTATGGAAAATATGTGGATTTTACTTATTGAATTATAAATGGATGTAATAATGATTTGTAGAGCGTATAACATTAGAAAGTGTAAACCGCACGAGCTTGGTGGGAAAACTTACTGTGAATACTGGCGGTCGCTTCAGTGCGCTGCATTTAATTGTACAGCTGCAATTATTTGCAATACTAAAAACGGCAGTGGTGATGAAATGTTTTATGCAAAGTTTATTTTTAAAGAGGATCGTGATAAATGGATGATATGGGATAACATTACCTATAAACAAGATGATGTCGCCTTTGTTTCTTTCGAAGAACGTGTAAGAAATTTAAAAAATGTGCCGGACAGAATAGGAAAATAAGTAAAATACATTGATCATTCTAGAAAAGATCAGCTAAAATTAAAGTCTCGACATCATTACAGTACAAAGATAAATTAAAATTAGAGGAGAATATTTACGATAAAGTTGGGTCATCTAGTTTCTCACTGTCAACATTTAGTCAGGATTGTAAAACATTTGATTTTGTCGGTTCCGCTGATATTCCAGCTATGGTGTGTATTTGAATTATTGTTTCGACTAAAATCCAGTTTGACTAAATTCAAATTAATTTTTTAGAATCGGGAATGCAGCTACCAAGAATTTCAATTTAAAAAAGACCAATTCAACGAACACGAATGTATGGGGATTTTGTGTGGAGTTTTACATCAAATGATTAATATTGGTGTTATTAAGAAAAATGACCCTGTGAGTGTTTTGAAAAGAAAATAATTTAAATTTAACAGTTTATTTTATAGAATATCTTTTTTAGAGCATGCCGGTGTGGATATCTTCATTACTTAATTCTTTCACTTTTCCCACTTTAAGAGTATATGGTAAATTATTAATTCTTAAGATGATTTTGAACACAAGAGAAATATTTAAACCATACGCACAGTACTGGTTATTGCCGATAATAGTCACAGCTAATTCCATCATTCCTCCTTTACCAAATCAAAAGCTGAATTACATGCTATCTGACATTGTACGTTAACAAATAAACATTGTTGAATATTGGATTGAAATTTTAATTATGCTATTTTATCAGGTTGTAATGCTTCTTTCATGGCGAGATGCCGCCCTTCCAAAACCTACATTTCAAATATGGGTGCTGATAGAGAAAATTATTTCATCTTCACCACCAAATATGGACAAACCTGAACTCAAGCAAAATATGTATCTAATTACGTGAGTTTTCCCTTTACATTTAGCTGCATTTGAATTTTTATGTATTAATCAAATTATTATTTTATTTTATTCTTCTTATTATTTTTTTAAAGAGAAATAATGATTCACTGGGGCTCTAGCCTCATAAAACCCAAATTAGATTCTCTTAGACAGCTGATAACATCTAAAGACCTGCGACATAATAAAATGGGACTTCAAATTTTTCAACTTCTTCTTAAACACGGGGTTCAAGTTTCTTCGAGTGTTAGTGAGGAGACAAACTTTGATGAGTATGTCATCATTACCATACCTAATATGATAATAGTATTTTAAAGGATTTTGTTTTTCGTCTAATTAAGTTTATATGATTAACAAGCTTAAAAATTTTGTTTTAAAATACCATAATATGTTTTCCAGATTTATGCAATTAATTGATAATGTTGATCAAGACATATTTATATTATCGGCTGAAATTTTGGGACTTTTATTGAGGTAAGGAAATTTTAATCATAATATACAAGTTTTAGATCGTCCTATTAACCAAAGTAATTATTTTAATTGATTTATTATTTTTTAATTGAGTTGAAAAATTAGTGTCATGCGGAACCTATGACATTTGGATTTTAATATAGACATTTAAAAAAAGAAGTGATAGAGAGATGGAGGGACAGGCAGACAAAACTCTTACTTTCCACTCACATATGTTCTCGAAAAACATTGAATCAAGATAACCTAACCTGTCTCTAACACTATCTGGTCATATGAGTTGAGTTAGGTTAGGAATGGTTAGGTCATAAATAACCTAACCTTTACACTATCTCTAACCCTACCTAACATTGGGTTAGGTTAGGAATGGTTAAGCCATAACTAACCTAACCCTTAAACCAACTCTAACTCTACACATATGGTTAGGACCACCGAATGTAACTCAATCCTATATGCACTTCCCAGTAATGCAAAATCAATAGCACAAAAATGTTCAAGCCAAATAAAGTTGTTTATCCATCAATAACATTTGATGTTTATATGTCATAATAAGTTAGTTACACTGTCACAATTCTTGTCAATCAAGAAGAAACATATTGATTTTTGAAGGTGTATTTCTTGGCTAATTGCTAATTTTTAGAGGCAGACTTTATAGTTTTGTTTTAATTTGATAGAAATTGAATTATTTTAGCTTGCTAAGATGTTTTCAATAACTTGAAAGGGTATATTTACAAAACTGATTTTATATGTACCTAATGCAATTTTAATTATTTCAATGTGTTTAAACATTTTGTAAATATTTTTAGACTTTCTGTTAGTGAAGAATCAAGAATGGAAAGGCAAATAAAATTAGTCGACGTTCTGTCTAGAATGCATATAAAACATAAAGCAAAGTTTTTTGTCATTTTTTACCATATTCAACTACATTATCCACAGTTATGCCATATGTAAGTTAATCGCACATTATTTACAATGGATTAATTATTATAATTTTATAATTTCAGGTTCATTTCCCACATAATTACAAATCTGAAGCATCAGTGTTACAACGATACTTACATCAAATCTCTCAATATACTAAACAGTTTCTTAGCAGAAGGGCCAAACCTGGATAAAAATGTTTTTCAACAATTAAAAGATTGTTTTACATCAATCAATAATGAGTATGTATAGCCATGCCATATACATTAATTTATTATCAGAAGAAAAAAAGAAACCACATTTCTAGGATTTTTAAAAGGTTTTAAGTTTAATTTTAAGCAAAAATATTAAGTAAGATTCTTGTTATCCCTATTAAACAAGATTCAAGAGTGTGGGGGGTTTCTAGTATGTATTTTGAATATAATGTCCAAAGCGACAACATTGGTTGCTGGGAGAGGATCAGAGTTGTACAAGATTGGAGGAGAGAAGTGATAAGGCAAAGGATGAAGGATATTTGCTGGGATTTAATTTTGTTGAGTCTGATCCTCCTTTCTTGGACCATTCTTCCAAACAGAAGTATGGTTCTGGAGGTTTCTGGAGACCTACTGGGTATTGGTTTGCCAAAAAGATGGCAGTAACATCTGAATACTGTAAACAGGATTGATCTGAATGTCCGCATTGCATACTGAATAGAGAATGAGTCCAAGGATACTGCCTTGCGGACTGCTTCGGCATAGTGGGAGGGATCCATAAATTACATTATTATTCACTTATTAAATTTTCACCTTGACCCTGCACAATATTACATTAAATTCTTTTTTGTTGTTAGAGATCAAAAAGTGTTATGCCCCATGCTGCAAGTTACCTTGACGTGCTTTCAAAAGTACACCGACTTTTCTCATTTGCTAAGTTTTGAAAATTTAAAAGTACTTATAGCTCAGCAAAGTTTAAATGAAGAAACACGAGGGAAATTATGTGATGTCTTAGTTTCCATGTATGAAAGATATCAGTAAGTGTGTACTAATACTTTATATCACCAAATATTACCAAGTAATACTAAGTATCTTATTATTGTATATTATTAATTACTTTAAATAATGTGTTTATTTTAAAAACTAATTTGATTCAACAAATGGTATATAGACACGGGAAACAATATTTTTTCATCTTAAACATCAACTATTGTCACGAATATTTAATTATTGAAATTTATTTTCTTTCAGTGTACCTAACAGCCGAGAAGAAAGTGAATGTATGAAAGAAATAGAGGCATATCTGTTCGTTAAACTTTTTGATGAAAGTGCACAAATTCAGAGTAAAATGTTGCAGTAAGTGTTTAAAAAGTCTGTGCATTTATTTGTAAATTTGTATACAACGCTATCTTGTAATTGAATTTGTTGCAATATTTTTTAGTTTTATTTATAACTAAGTATTTTACAAAAATACATATCTAAGAAAATTTGATAAAATATTGCATATAATTATAAAGGATGAACAGGCTCTGTCAACATTTATAAAAATATATTAACTATTCACCTTTTTATTTTGGCTTTTAGATTTTGGGTTAAAGCTGGTGTTCTCCCTCCTGATGTGGAAAAAGCAGTTCTCTTTTTATTAGAATACGCACTAAAAGTTTCTTATCAAAAAAACTTATTAGGCATATTGATCAATGTGCTAATCAAGTACCTGGAGCAATTTGTAAATTTTTCCGAACAGGTTTTCCAGTTTGCTCTCATTGACTACAATAATGGACAGGTTTGTATTTTAGTATCGATATATTTTTGAGTTGGATACAAAATTTTTGCATTATAGGTTAATACAAGTGGGTTGGGTTAGGTTAAATAGGGTCAGGTAAGGTTTATGATAAAAGTTGTTTTATTTTTCAGAAATTATATTCTCAATTTGTTAAAAACAGAAGAAAATAATATAGCTTTTGAAATTTTTATAGTACACTCATTCTTTTTTTTTACCTTTCGTTAACCCCAAGTAGCAATTTATTTCTATTTTCTTTACTATGTTAAATTTTATGTGCCATAATGATTCATTTAACCCACGACTAATGAGATAGAATCATCACTCATTCTGAAAGGACATTTCACTACATTTCCTTGTTGCTCAATATTTGACAGTTTCAATTAATTAAGGTTTTTAGTTGAGATAAAAAAGTCAGTGGCTCGAGCGGGATTCGAACCCACGATCTTCGGCTTGATACGCCGCTGCTCTACCACTTGAGCTATCGTGACCTCGATCCACTCGGACACTAACTTCCCATCTCAACCCCACCTTTTGAATTTTCCCTCCTTTTTGCCATTTTTCGATCAAGGTAATCCATTGACTTTTTTTATCTCAACTAAAAACCTTAATTAATTGGAATATATTAATTGGTCAAGTGGACCATGAAATTAGTGAATTTGACAGTTTTAAGGAACGTTAAAAGGTATAGGAAGACTGGTAGTCTCTGTTTTGTTAAAATGCAGGTAATCTTGAAAATTCAACAGCATTTAGCGTTAAAAAAATTGACCGCTGGATTTCGGGGCATATCAATTTCAGAGACAATTAGAAGATCTTAAAGTCAAACCTTAGATCAAGAATGCCTGAGATAGGCCTTCTTGCACCACAGAACACTTTAGAGACTTGGATTTATAATGGAAGAGCAACTATAGAGGAATAGATAAAAGTCCTATTCACCACCACTGAGACAAGAACAGTCCAGATAGGTGTGAAAGAGTCTGGAGAACGATACAGTTGCTGCACATGGAGACAGTGACATTTGGAAGAGGACGGCATTTCTCAGAACATACCGAGTTGGTTTTTGATCCAAGGGGTCTTTGAATGCCTTGAATGTGAAGAAGATGATGCAGTGCCTTTTATGCCTTTCTTAGGCTCTGAATCATTGCTAAAATCAAATTATATCGTTTAAAAAAAAATTCATTTTAAAAGTTAATTTTTATTTTAAAGAACACATGCTTTGAATCAAAGGACGACATGAAAGAACAATTTACTTAATAATAAGGGGGAAAATTTTTACAATTAAATATAATTAATTACTTTCTCTAAACCTTGTTGAAAGTCATGGGATGTAATAATTTAACTGTCATTTTCAACACGTTACATTGTAATAAAAACATGTTTTAATTGTTTCTCTATATTCTAGATTTGTCAAATTTACAACAAGCCATACAAAGTTAATGAAGGTGAGATACTGCATGCACCAAAGTTTGTCATTTCAACGGACAATTTGAGTGTTTATAACAAGTGCCAAAAAGAAAAAAAAGGTATTAATCATAATTTGATCCACTTAATCGTTACTTTTTTTTCGACAAAACAGTTTCAATAATAATAATAAAAATATATTGTATATATTATATAAATAAATATGCTATCTATGTTTGAATTAGGTAGTACTTGTGAAAATTTGGAGAGACAATATAGATACTACCATGGAGATTATCCGTATACCAAAATTGCTCTAATTGACATATTAAAGCCATTGTCTTCTTTAGCATTGGTAAGACTAAATCTGCCAGAAGTTTTTTATATTCTTATATACAAATATTGTTGTAGTTCGATGAAAATTTTGCTCAAAAACTTTTCTTAGCATTGGCTAATGGAATTTGTGAGTTGATTAAGAAAGACCTTTCCCGCTGGGCTGACTTTAAGACCAACTTTACTGCGTTATTCAATATAATAGACAGAAAGCAACCTACGGTGAAACATAAAATTTATCACGTTATGTTAGAGATTGCAATTAGCAATGATATCTGTTTCAATTTTAACAATACAATAACAGGTGTTGTGATTACTTAAATTAACAGTTTTAGTTTCTTAGCTTGGACCTAATTATACAAATATTTCTTTTGTACAGATTTGTGTATAAGCAATAGATTAGAAGAACTGGGCATACTTTTTGCTGAAAACTGTATTGTTAATGACAATAGAGAAGAAGTATATGAGGAATCTTCGTCTAAAAGAATAAAGCTGGACCCTAGTTGCATTAAGGACGAGGAACCGTATATTTCAACAATTATAAGGTTTACTTTTTTAAGATTTAAATTTTATAAGCTCTTGATTATTGTTTTATATAAGCTCAAGCACATTCATACGTGTGTGTATAAAATCAAAATTATGACTTTGAGTTGTGGGAATCACCTACCTTGGGTTTTGGCAGTTCTGAGTCAGACCTTGGTCTTATCCATCTCGTTGCTCAAGCAACGTTCCAGGGGCTGTCAGCAACTAGTTCGTTTAAGCCCACAACGCATACTTACCCCATACTCAATATTCTGCCATCTATTACATAGGGCAACCATAATTTTGTTCGTGAGTTTGTTTGTAACCCCTGCCATCATCAACTCCTAATTATAAGTTGTACATTGAGACTGCATAGAACTGTTGTTTGTTTATTCTTTAAGGTTACATTTCAACAATTAATTAAGGTTTTTAGTTGAGATAAAAAAGTCAATGGCACGAACGGGATTCGAACCCACGATCTTCGGCTTGATACACCGCTGCTCTACCACTTGAGCTATCGTGACCTCGATCCACTCGGACACCAACTTCCCATCTCAACCGCACCTTTTGAATTTTCCCTCCTTTTTGCCATTTTTCAAAAGAAATTGAGCAGCGGCGTATCAAGCCGAAGATCGTGGGTTCGAATCCCGCTCGTGCCATTGACTTTTTTTATCTCAACTAAAAACCTTAATTAAATGTAATATATTAATTGGTCAAGTGGACCATGAAATTAGTGAAGTTACATTTTAAGTTTATTTTGAAATCGCTTCATGCAAAATCACATCACTTGAAGTTATTAAGGGTAACATATCCTGGTTCAAATCCTGGAATTCTCTTGCGGAGAGGTATAATGTGGCTCGGTCCTCTTTGGATAATTCTGCAGCGTGGTCTGAAATGTTTTCCAACCTTCTTCATATTATGGGGGCTCGTCATCGGGAGAGTTGTATTAAGTAGTTGAAAGAAAGTTTACAAAAGAGAAAAAGCATAATGTACAATGAAGATGGGATTTTGTCACAAACTTTATATACAAATTTATATTGATTTGTGTATCAATTTTACTTTTTTTAAATGTGCTCAAAAAATGACACTAAATTTCAATATATTTTTTCTTTAATAAACTTATTTATAATTGGATTTGTAGGTTGTACCTTAGCATCAATGAGGATGATGTGGCTACAGATATATTTGACGACTATGTCTCCAAGGAAGAAATATACAGAAATCAGTCTCAACAGTACCTCAGTTCTTTATTTAAACTAAAGGTTAATAAGTAAAAAATTATTTAAAAAGTTATTAAAAAAATAAATAAACATTGCTGTATACTTGTTATAATAGAAATGTTATGCACTTTTTGATTGGGAGTCATTGGATAAATTACTATTTCCTGAAGGTGAAAGTTGTAGTTCATTTTGGAACAGTCATGATTTAATTTCAAGGTAATTTCTTTATCAAATTTGTATTTAGATTTATACCAGTGTAAGGAAATTGATTGCATAATCATGCACAATTTTCTAATGATTTTTTTATGTTGGAAATCATTTAATTTCATTTTTAATATTCTTTTTTTTTGTTAATAGAAAAACTGATATATTTCCATTTATTGTAAAATCAACTGTGCAGCAAGCTATTACTGGACGATGTGACGCTCAACTGTTAAAACTTGAAAAATTGACTCCTTTCATGGTATTATTATGTTACCAAATTTTCTTCACAGTTAAAATAAAATACTTTCCAGGAGGATTTTGGGGCAGAATTATCTTTACTTTATCTTTTAAAAGAAGATGTTACAAATTTGAGACTCAGTGCGCAACTGTCTTTGAGGAACCACATTAACAATTTTAAGAGGGAGTTCTCAGATGTGAAATTTTTTTCAATACATGGATACATTTTGAAACTGAAAAGTCTCATCGATTTATATGTAAATTTTCTGTTTAATTTCTCTTTCTCAGTTTGACATTTTTTCAACATAGAAAGTTTCTTTAAGATGAATTAACTCTTTAATTCTTAACTCTTTTTAAGATGTTGTCAAGGGCAGAGAATTTTTACCTGACCCATTTTGTGGATGAGTATTGCGATGTCAGATTAAAATTCTATGGGAATCTTTTGAACTATGTTGACTACAGAGCCTTTTGCAGGTAAAACTTTCAATTGCCTTAATGCAGTGAAATTGAAATTATAATTAAAAGGAGGAGGGAAGGAATGTGATTCCTCTAAGAATAGAGGAAGAGCAAGGTGGGAATGGGGAGCACTTTGCACTAGTTTATTATTTTCACCACTTGATGGAAAAACATTAAATCATAGATATTTAACTCTAACCCTATTCAACCTAACCTGTACGCAACTGAAACATTAACCCCGTTTAATATAACATGTCTCTAACACTAACTCTTACCCTGCCTAACCTAATGTCTCTAACTTTCAACTCTAGCACTGCCTAATCTAACATGTCCCTAACTCTAACGCCAACTATCCCCACCCAACCTAACCTGTACGCAACTGTAACTCTAACCCCATTTAATATAACATGTCTCTAAAACTAACTCTTACCCTGCCTAACCTAATATGTCTCTAACTCTCAACTCTAGCCCTGCTGAATCTAACATAACCCTACCTCTAGCCCTACCTAACCTAATATGTCCCTAACTCTAACTCTAACCATCCCTAGCCTAACCAAACCTATCTCTAACTTTAACCTTACTTAACCTAACCTGTCCCTATCTCTAATTCTAATCTAACCTCTTCCTAACTTTAACCCTACATAACCTAGCCCTACCCTTGTGCACTCCTATGATCTCACAAAAATTTTATCCAGTCAAAAACATATTCATGTTAAAAGTATTAGATAAAGATATTAAAAGTATTACTACATTAAACGTTTAACATGGTATTAATTCATACGAATAATCTGGACTTTTGTATGATCAAGTGGATGGAAAGAACCATCTAATCATATTAATCCATATGCCCATCTAATGCATTTATATTAAAATAAAGGATGGTCTAACAAAGCAAATTGTGGTATAGCCAAACTTACATTTGTTACATGTTCAAAATAACCATAAAACATAATCCTAAAGATTTACCTTGCTTTGCTATAATTTATCATCCGAACATTTATTTTAGGGAAATTCTACATATTAATGGATTCAATTGTACAGCTGTGAATTCAAGAGAATGGGCTATTGAAATGATAGATTTTGCAGTTTCTAAACATAAGTTTTACATGGCAAGAAAATACTTAGTGAAGTTGCACAAAAAATTGGTAAGATATGTACATTTTGTTTTTACATGAGATTATGCCAGGTTGTTTACACAGAAATAAGTCCATAGTATTTTTTAATGGTAAATTCAATAAAAATGTCAGGTGGTTCTAAACAAATTTTGTTTACAATCGTCCATGTAATTTTTGTAATTCTGTCCTCCCAGAACTTTTCAGGCTCTTGAGCAATGAGTTCCTTCACATTTTCAGCAGTCCTCATGCGTAGTAAAAATTTTCCTATTACTAGTTTTTCAGATCCCAGAATAAGTGAAAATCGAAGGGGCATTGTCAGATGAATACGGTGTGTAGAGTACATACCATTAAACTCCAATTTCTGGCTTACCTTCAAAGACATGTCAGGGGGTGATTAGCTGGTCATTTTTACACAATTGATAATCAATCGTATGTGGTATAGATTAGAATTAATAGTTTGTTTAGGCTGAACAAGCACACATAATAAAGCTCTCCCTTCCAATACACCAAATGACATGGCGATCGATGCCTTTTCAAGTTGTTAATGGTAGGTTGCTGCTTTTTTTCCCAGAATTTTCCACTCTGAATTTTTGTAAAGGACCCATTCATCCAGTTATTAATATGTTTAAAAATGGTCCTTTTACATTAAGTTTAGGAGTGAATTGCACGTGGAGATATGGTCCAATAAATTTTTCTATGTCAACATTTCCACAACAAACATATTTAGCTGTTCTCATGTGTTGAAACACTTCCAATGCTAAACTCAGTCTTGTCGTTGAATTTGGGTTGTTTGTGACAAAAGCAATGTGTTCATCGACAGTTAAAGGACATCCAGAGTGCTACCAAACTAAAATTTCCACTTCTGAACTGAGTAAACAATTATGGACAGTGCTTTCCCTTAAAGAATCATCACCATACACAGCAAAAATTTTCCTTGTAGTCTGAGCTGAGGTTTTTCCCTTTATGGTAGGTAATAAAAAACCCATCCACTGGCAAAAATGCACCGTTTTTATTCCATTTTCTAAATACAAAATTTAAAATGAAACTGACAAAAACACTTTAACTAATCTATTTCCAGAGTGTGATAATAATGACTATTTAAATGACAACACTGTTTAAAAAAAATATATAAAATCAAATTATTAAAAAATTCTATGGACATATTTTACAACCAGATAATAACTCTAGGGGCATTTTTCGTCACTGCTTTGGAGCTGTTGTTAAAAATTTAGTAAACATTTTATCAAAAGTTTGGTTAATGAGTATTGGTTTGCGGTGAACTCGTGCTGAACTGGCATAGGGTCAATTATTGGATCAGTCTTCACTCACGGGCTTGTTAAGTTATTCAAACGCCTTTTGGCATTGTGCCATCTTCAGTGAGGAACTGTGAGGAAGTTGACCAAACAAGTGACCCTAGCCAGTTCGGCATTAAAAATTTAGCAATTTAGTTGTTAAATGCGTTTTTCTTGTAATTTTTCTCTCTCTCTCTCTCTCCCTTTCTCTTTCTCTCTCTCTCTCCCTCCCTTTCTCTTTCTCTCTCTCTCTCTCTCTCTCTCTCTCTCTCTCTCTCTCTCTCTCTCTCTCTCTCTCTCTCTCTCTNTGTTTCCATTCTATGGTTTATATATATTTGTATTTCAGGATGACAACATGGAAACACCTGTTAACAAAATCATCAATCAAATTAAACTGGGTGAAGTAGGCTTGCTGAAAGTACAAATGATAAATGAGCCTACATTGAAATTAGAGAGTTTGAAAACGAATTGGAAAGGATTAAGTAATAAACTTTAGCATTTATATTATTTTTAAAATTAGTTTTTGGCAAAATTTTTTGGTTACTCAATCACATAAAAATAGCTACAACACCAGAAAAATAATTTGTCTTTTTGAGCACCTGGAATGCTAAGTGGGCTGTGGATCTGACATCTCAAAATACTTTCATAATTACAAATTTATGATTAGTCACTAACGAAAATTACGGTAACAATTATTTATTGACAAATAAACACACGTAAACAAAAGCCAAAATAAGAACAATTGTACTGTTAAAATTGCAAGTAAAAGTCTAACTTGGAACAATTTTGAAATATTTTTTCAAAGTTATGTAGACTTTTTTTTTACTTTGCCTTACAGACAATTTGGTCAGTGTCATTTTGCTCGTGAGAACTCTCGCCACTCCATCCATACCGACAGACCAAAGCCACCCCCAAAGGGCACTACCACATACACCTAATTTTGGTAGTATTAGTAGGATGTGGATAAAAACCTTATGTAGCAGCAGATGCCCCTAGAAAAATCCACATCCTCCCTGCTTCCCAGGGACCATTTGCCCTTTGCAAGTAGAGCATCCCCAGAGATCCCCAAGCCGGCCAACACATTACCCCCAGCACGACTCAGGCTCCTCACCTCTTAATAGTTAGTAATTCGTATTTAGGTCTTCAGTTTGTTTTTATTTAAAAATTCAAACAATATTCTAAACAAAATTCCTTTTAAAATTAAAGGGCTTCTCTACCTCTGTGCAACTAAAGAGAGGTAGATTCAAACATGAAATTTCTTGCAACTTCATACTCTGGACATCAAACAAAATATTTTGCATTGTCTCAGGTTCATCACATGTTTCACAATTCGGGGAAGGTCTTAAACAAATTCTATTCAGATAAGCCCCACGTATATAGTGATTCAACCTAATTCTAAAAATTGAAAAAAAAAAAAAATGCCCTGCTTCTCCTCATTAGGACAATCCAGGAAATGGGACAAGATTCGGGAATCAAAAACTTAAAAAAATAACCTGCCTTATGCCTTACTATTGTACCACTTTTCCATTCCTGTGCCAATTTTTTAGTTAATACCTACCCTCCTTGAATCAGATTTAAGTATTTTGATGTTCTTGACTTCTCCATCTGATGTAGCTTCCTTTGCCATTGTTTCAAAAACCTCGTTATGCACCACTCCACAGTGACTGCGAAACCAACCAAATCTTACGTTTTTACTTTTTTTTTTTTTTTAATTTTTATTTACCACCCAGTATCGAACCATCTGTAAAAATCAAATGGTTATTTTTCATTGTTCAAATGTCGTGTAATCGGATTGGATTCTCGACGACAAATGAAATGGCCACGGAGAGCTTTAGTGAAGTATACTTCATTTAAATTCATTAAATTCACTAATTTCGTGGTCCGCTTGACCAATTAATATATTTCAATTAATTAAGGTTTTTAGTTGAAATAAAAAATGGCAAAAAGGAGGGAAACCTCAAAAGGTGGGGTTGTGATAGGAAGTTGGTGTCCTAGTAGATCGAGGTCACGATAGCTCAAGTGGTAGAGCAGCGGCGTATCTAGCCGAAGATCATGGGTTCGAATCCCGCTCGTGCCCTTGACTTTTTTATCTCAACTAAAAACCTTAATTAATTGAAATATATTAATTGGTCAAGCGGACCACGAAATTAGTGAATTTANAGAGTGCAGCACACAAGAACACAAGAATGCCCTGAAGATGATCTCAATAAAGATCGAAACGTTGGCACTATAAAGAAAATGTTTTTCTAAAACCTACGTCACACCAGACTGCATTTCTCAATCTCCAAATAATAATAAATAAAAAAGGTTGGGCGCTAGTAAATAAATTTAATGATTGTAGTTAACTGACAAAATGACCAAAAAATTAACATAAATGTGCACGCTGTGCAACTTACAACTGGGGGGGGGGGTCATCCAAGTTGAACGTACAAAACTAATTTTCTGTTGGCCGCTGCTGCCCATTCTCAGTGTCAATTCGACAGTTTTTCCAGAGAGCTTTCTTTTTTGCCCCGATGGTGGGAAATACATCGTCCTTACTGCAGGCTCGAATTTCCTGGCAGGTATCTGTCCTGATTACTCGCTCCAGGATGGCTTCTGCTATACATAAGTAGGAAAACCCATCGAGTTGCTGACATCCTGTCTCTTTCCATCTTTCGGCCCTGCAGGACTATTCACCTTACGATTTGTCCTGAACGGTGGGAAAATCATCCTTGTTGTGGCAGCCACAAATCCTTGTCTAAGATGGGCCTCAGCTGCATACAAGGAGGAAAATTCGGCAAAATGCCGACGCGTATTCCCAGTCCGTCCCCTTTAGCCTGTTGGACTTGACTTTTCTCCTGTCGTTGCCCTCTTATCACTCCCCTCATCTGCTCTTTTCCTCTCTGCTGGCCCTCCACACCTCCTCTGTTTTACCCCATTTTATTTTATTTTTTTTAATTTTTGTATTATTAAAACAAATGCTCATTTGTACACAACCAACTATGGTCCAGACTTGGCTGCTTTCTTTTCCCTGGCTTTCCTCTCCTCTCTCCAGACCCACCACATCTAAGACTTGTTCTACGAAATACCAGTCAGCATCCAATGGGTTGATAGTGAACTATCGAATTCTTAAAAAATTTTTTTTTGTTTTTGTATGTTTATATTCTGTGCAGGAGTGACACTAAAGTAAAGTTTTATCTTAAAATAGTAAATATATTTAAAGGGAGCAATATGTGACCAACATGGCCAGCAATATGTATGTCGATAATTTGACCAAAAAATTCAGTTTTCACTCCAAAAACTGATTTAAAAAATCTGATCTATTAGAAGTGAGAAAAACTCAACTATAAACAAATAAAATATGGAAAATATTTAAGTTACAAATTGTGAGATTTCTTCATCGGGTCTGTGGCTTGATAAAACCTGTAGTTTGTCATTTCTTATCATTTTGACCTGCCTATTCATATGGAGGATATGCCTATCCCTGCAAATTTGTGTCTGACTCAGGTGAACTGAAGAACTTAAATTGATGTATTGGATCTTCTTGAGGTCATTTTACAGGTGAATAAAAAACATCACTATTGGGTTTCACCAAGCTTTCGGCGAATGTTCCGCCATCTTCAGGGCTTCACCCAGTTTTTTAAGACAATTAAAATTTATTGCACATGTTTGTTGTTATTTTAAACTGAAGGTGGAAATGAATCTACATACTCTTTGTAAGTTAAAACTCAATCTCAGGTACATGTATTTCTTTATTACAGATACGTTATATGTATATACAACTTTTAAACTGTTTTTTAACTTAGAATTATAATTTAATTATTTACAATATGTACAAGGAACTTTAAGAAAATTGAAGAACTTAAATTAGAAACAGAAGACAAAAGGCTGAAATGCTTCTGACAGGCCAAACCAGAGATTATAGGCAGTTTAAAAGATCAGAAACAACAAATATATTAAAAATGTTGTTTGAAGTAGTTCAGATATAATTGTTTACTATGCTACATCTATTGCAGGTGAACTAATAGCGTTAGTCAACGAAAATGCTGACTGTTTTTCCGAAAGAAAAACGATTCAGATCATTAATCGCTATATAGCAGTTTTATGTGCTGAGCTGATCGAGTTGAATTCTGAATACGACTTTACGGAAAATATCAGTGAGATTGAAAGGACAATTCAATCAATTTCACCTAATGCTGTTAGAGTATCAGGGTAAAGTATTAAAGTATTGTTTATAAAATTCCATTATAAATTATTCACAAATTTTTCAAAATTCAGGTTTTGACACCCATAAAAACAGGTATTCAGAAACACATGTTGCTGAATGTGGCCAAACATTATCATGCACAAGCAATGATTCAGGGCTTAAGAAAGGCATAAAAGGCACTAAATGATCTTTTAGAATCATCTCCATTTATCTTAAGACTTTTCAATTAATTATTCTTTTTATCTAAGGTCTTGGTTGAGATGAAAACATTAGCGTCATGAGCGGGAATCGAACCTACGACCTTCGGCTCAACAGCTTCGGCCGGTGTTCTAACCACTTGAGCTGTTATGACTTCACTGGGAAACCACGATCCAAGTCACGATAGCTCAAGTGAATTGAGCTGAAGGTTGTGGGTTCGAATCCCGCTCATGACATTAACTTTTTCATTTCAACCGAGGCCTTAGATAAAAAGAATAATTAATTGAAATAATTAATATGGTCATTTATGACTGCTAAACATGTATGGATTTTATTAAGGCATTCAACACAGGCTTCATGGCTAAGACATGACTTCAGCGCCTTCCAAGATATGCTGTCCGAGAACATGAAAGGTTTTCTGAATATCACTGACAGAATCTTTCTCCAGGTCTTTTCTAGGCTTTTTCAGGGCATATGGTCTCATCTCATTGGTGAATAGGTCTTTTATCATTCCATAATTGGTGCTCCTTAGCAAATCTTAGTCTATGTAAGTTACATTCTGAGAAATGTCGGCTTAGAATATGATAGACCCGTTGATTGATATGTCTCGAATTTCAGAGTTTAAATTTTTAATGTCAGAAGCTATTGAATTGCACTTCCGACTTGTTTACATTTTTATAAAACGGTTGTCTTTGGGAATGGTGATTCTGGGACCCCTGAATTTGGTCTCCTTGAGTGACTCCCTATCTTCTGTGTTTTGTCGGTCTTCCAATATTCCTTGATTTTGATTATGCTACTATGCAAACATGTTTAAGTATTTTTTAAGTGCGTTTGACACTTAAAGAAAAAATTAATATAATTAAATAGAGTGAAAGTGAAAAACTAAGTGTTGACTTGGCCGCGAAATTTTCCATTGGAAAGACTACAGGCAAGTGAAATTCTACAGGTTAAAAAGAAATGTTTAGATAAATTTTACAAACATGGAAATTACCAATCCCACAGATTTTTCCCTAAAATGTCCATTTCAGCCATAGACTAGGACATATTTTATTTGCCATACTTGGGCTTGTAAAATACTATTGTTTGGTGTGCTTATCCAAGAAAAGGCCTTAGAAGTTGCAAAACATTTAGGGCAAACATTAAATCGCTTTTCAGTTGGCTCGACAAATTAGAACATGGAATAAGATTGAGCGAAGGATTGAGGTTGTACAAAACTGGACAGAAAACAAACAATATTGTGATTTTAAATGCAAAAACATTTTTAATTGCGATGAAATGATCTTATTTTTTAGAACACTTCCAGCTAAACTATCCTTTTAAAAAAGAGTGAGAGGAAACGTTTCAAAGGAGCTTTTCACTTTGCTCTAGGCAAAAGTGTGCTTGGTGAATTTGAAAAACCTTCTGATCATAGAAAAGGTTAAAATCCTCAGTGTGTCAAATGTATAGATATCTTGCAATCCCCATTGTGGCCTTTCTTGTAATACTAAACATTTTTTCGCTCTTATCCTAAAAGCGGACATGTCTGTGTAGTGGACAATATTTCATTCTCTAAGATTGTCTGTCATATGGAATTTTCACTGTACATAGTTTTCTTTATAATAACAATTAATTAAGGTTTTTAGTTAAGATAAAAAAGTCAATGACACGAGCGGGATTCGGACCCACGATCTTTGGCTAGATAGGCCGCTGCTCTACCACTTGAGCTATCGTGACCTCGATCCACTCGGGCACTAACTTCCTATCTCAACCCCACATTTTGAGTTTTCCCTCCTTTTTTGACTTTTTTATCTCAACTAAAAACCTTAATTAATTGTAATATATTAATTGGTCAACCGGACCATGAAATTAGTGAATCTTTATAATAACGTTCAACCTGATTATATTATTTCATTGTAGGCATTTTACATTCTACAACTTAGGAGAAAAGGAGTTATTGTTTCAGTTTGGACTGCAGTGTTTAATAAATACTGCGGAATATGATGAAGGCATAAATGCTGGTAAAGCGTACATGTCTGTCGCTATGTTTTGCAAGAAATACTTTACAAGTATGTTTTTTTTCTCATCCTAATCTTTGTTAAATAAATTATAAATTTGCATTGATCTGTTTTCTTAAATAGGATTTGCATACCGTGAACAAAATATTGAGATTTTTATTGCTCAGTGTATATTACGCTCTATGAAACTTGGATGCGAACAGGCACGGCAGTTGTTACCTTTGATATTTACATATAAAAATGTGTTTATTGAAGAGAACTGCTTGGAGGAAGTAAGTAAATACTATGGTATAATATCATAAAAACAAAAACCAGACACTCATATTTTGTCGTTTATTTCAAACTGTTTTTATCATTATATTACTTACAACATATTTATTTTAATATAAACAAAATTTAATGAGATCAGAAATTCATGAGTTTTAATAAAAATGATTTAATTTTGATGGTTTGAAAGAAAATTCGCCTGAACACCAGAAAATCATTTGGTGATAAATTAAAATTTAACCAACAATTTCATACCTGGTTTTGCTCATAATAACATGTTCTATCTCCTCTGGCCTCACAGAGGGCTTAAGTCTCCTAGCATCGAGTAAATAAACAATCAGATTTTGTCTTGTGAAACAGAATCCCACTCTTCAACAAGAATGGTTTGAAGCTGTTATGCTTGTTGGAGGTGGTGAACGATATCTAACCCATCTTTATCATGTCCTATAAGTTTTCTATGGGATTCATGTCAGAAGAACTTCCTGGCCAATTATTGTGGCAATCCCTACCTTCAAATAATAGATGACATTCTAGCTACATGCGGTCGAGCATTACCATACATTACCCCAAGTTGTCATAAATGAAGCAAATGGGACGACAGCTTCCAGAAGAACTTACTCAACAAATCTTAGTGATGTCAAAGACAGAGTTGGGAAAAAACTAAAATTCAACTAAAACTAAAACTAAATTACTTAAAATTAATTAAGGTTTTTAGTTGAGATAAAAAAGTCAATGGCACGAGCGGGATTCGAACACACGATCTTCGGCTAGATACGCCGCTACTCTACCACTTGAGCTATCGTGACCTCGTCCTACCATTTGTCGTCGAGAATCCAATCCGATTACACGACATTTGAAAAATGGCAAAACGTAGGGAAAATTCCAAAANGAATCCCGCTCGTGCCATTGACTTTTTTATCTCAACTAAAAACCTTAATTAATTGTAATATATTAATTGGTCAAGCGGACCACGGAATTAGTGAATCTAAATTACTTACTTGAACCGGAAAGGTCAACTGAACTAATAGTTTGTAATCGTAATTTCAAACTAAATGAGTTCAACTAAATTAGTTTAGTTGAATGGAAACTAAAACTAATTTAGTTGTGCAGATTTAGTTGAACTAAAAAGTACAAACTGTTAATTTTAGTTTTAGTTTTCAACTAACAACTAAAACTATTTTTCAATGAACAATTTATTTGTTACTTCCATGTTCTAAATAAATAGAAGTGTTGGGATCGACTATAATCAGTAGAAATGTGTCCCACACCCCCGGCCAAACTCAGAGGAGTGATAGGACTACTAACCGGTCACTGGTATCTGAGAAAACATCTACACAAGATGGGTATAAACAGCGATGATCCCATTTTCAGATTATGCAATGAGGAGGAGGAAACAGCCACTCATATCATCTGCGAATGCGAAGCAACGTACCAACGTACGTAATAACCAAGAATGGAGATTTAACCTAACGTACGGAAAAGACTTAGGGAATCAAATTGCAGCAACAATAGTCAATGACCTGATATTTCTAACAAGAAGGTTTGAGTCTATTGACTGAACTAAGGAACTAGGAAGGTACAATAAGCCAGAAGGCTGCAGTGCCTGGGGAATACAAACCCCGCTTCCTAGTATCCTTTTCCACCCTACCATATCCTCACCCCTCCTGAATCAATTCTAATAGGGTGCCCTTCTTATGATGAAGCCTTGCTTCAGGAGAACGTCTTTAAAAACTAATTAATGGGTAGGTAGTATAATAATAATAGTACATTCTTTAGAGGATTTTGTAGAATAAACAAATTTTTACGTCCTTGAAGAAACCAGGATTCATTTGGCCCAACAACAACATTATGTTGGATGTCTTCTTCCCCTCCATATTTTGGACATCACATGGTAATTTGAATGCAACATAATTTCTTCAAAGTACTTAACAGTTTCAGGTTTTAGGTTATGTAAATAACAACATTTTTCCCATTGTTGTGTGAATATATGTACTTGTAATAATTGCAAATACACNCACAACAAAAACTCAACTAAAATAATTTAAAAACTCAATTGGTGAATTAAATTAGTTTAAAAACCTCAAGAAAAGTTTTAGTTGTTAGTTGAAAACTAAAACTAACAGTTTGTACTTTTTAGTTCAACTAAATCTGCTCAACTAAATTAGTTTTAGTTTCCCATTCAACTAAACTAATTTACTGGAGCCAATTTAGTTGAACTAAAAACTGTCAACTAATTTAGTTGAAAAATTTAGTTGCAACTACTTGGCAACTATTAGTTTTTAGTTGAGAGTTTAGTTCAACTAATTTTTAGTTAATAATGCCCAAGGCTGGTCAAAGATCCATTTTGTATAATAATCAGTTTGGTACGGACATGGATGTTGATGATTCCACCCCATGCTATAACTGATGGTCTTTGAAAAGGCTGTGACTCATGCATGGCACAAGAAGCAAAGCGTCTCCACATCTTCTCTACACATCCTGACGGGCTGAGAAGACACCTCTCCGTAATGGGTATTCTACCGGATCCCTTTGCGAAATAAAAGAAGAAACGGCAAAGCACTACCTCACAGAATGTGATAGGTATGCTAATATAATGAATATAGGTGTCTGGTTTTTTGTCTTTAAGTGTATATAAAATGTGAAAAATTACTGACATTTTGTTTATTAAGTTATATCAAGTACCTAAGTGGATGGTGTTTAAATGGTTGCCCCAACTTTTTGTCAAGTTGACTGAATCTTCATCAAAAGTCTTGTTACCTCTTCTTAAAAAATTGTTCAAAATTTACCCATACAGTGCATCAATTTCTTTTATAATGTGGAATGATGTCTTTGGGGACGATGATAATAATAAAAATTACTTCAAAACGTAAGTTCAACAATGATTTTTTTTATAGTTTGTACTATTGAATAATTATGTTTATATGTTTAGATTATCAACAGTATCTCCAGACTGTCTATTGATGACAAAACGTATCATTAATGGGTTAAATCAGTTATGCCATCCGACAATTTTATTGCGTAGCTATTTAAAAAAACTTTTAGATGCATACAAGACAAACAGATCAGTTGTTGCAATATATAGTGAAATTTATGCAAAATGTTTTTATACGACTGGAAATCAAATGGTTGGGAAAATTTATGAAATCAATAAACCACATTTTGATTTCGTCCAGAGGATTCAGAGTAATTTTCCATTTTTCACAATCAAACAATCGAATATTTAGTTATTTTCCTTTGGAAACTACCAGGTAACCAAAAGAGTTTGTGCGGGTTTAAAGGGTTTAATGATTGTCAGAAAATAGAAATATTTTATTTGGGGTTATATTCTCTATCGGCATCTTCTCTCAAGCTACTATACTTTTATAAGTTATGCCCTTATAAAAGTTTGGGTCCTGGGACTTAAATAAATTCAGCATATTTTTAAGCTGTTGGTGATTATCAAATGTCCAATGGCACGTATGACTATCCATTGCTAAGAAAAGGTGGATGTCAGATGGGGCCAGGTTTGGAGAGTACAGAGGGTGCGGTAGGACCACAATGAAGCTTCAGTTCTGGCTGTGTGATATCTTGCATTCCGGGTGAAAAATTCAAATTTCTGTTCATGAGAGAAAGTCGTTTCTGGGCCAAGGCAAGAGATTCTTGTTCTGGTTGGTTGGCGTGAGTAGAATTTTGTGGTGATAGTTTGGCCACGTGGCATGAGTTTGTAGTGGACAGTGCCTGCCATACTCCACCAAAGACAAAGGATTACCTATTGTTGGTGAATATTTGGTTTTTGCATCAATGGGACGGTCATTTGGTGACAACCAATGGTACAACCTCCTTGTATTACATGTGCAGGATCCATTTTTCGTTGCATGTGACAATGTGATCAAAAAGCTCTCCACTTTGAGCTGTGAAAGCAATGAAAAGCAAATGTTTAGACGCAGAAGCTTGTTACCTTTGGTCGATTTATGAGGAACCCATTTGCTCAGTTTCCATGTTTTCACAAGTTGATGGATTAATATAGTAATTAAAAGAAGTAATGACTCCCTGTGGGCACTTCATAAGTCGCTGAGAATCAAATCCTAATTATAAAACATTTGAAAAATGGCAAAAAGAGGGAAAATTTGAATGGTTGTAGGTTGAGATGAGAAGTCGGTTTCTGAGTGGATCAAAGTCATGATAGCTCAAGTGGTTAGAACAGCAGCGTATTGAACTGAAGGTTGTGGGTTCGAATCCCACTTTTTTGTCCACCAAGACCTTAGATATAAAGAATAATTAATTTAAATAATTAATATGGTTAATTATGGCCTCTAAACATATATGGATTAATATGGTAAAAAGAAATGCTGATTAACGGTATTAAAACAATAACAAATGAAAAACTGCACAAACATTTCTGATTACCTGGTAGTATTTCATAGAAATAAATATTTAAACAAATAAAATTATTGTTATAAAACAAAGTTTCTTTAGATGAAAAACAAAACTACAATGAATGCTGTTTTCAACTGCAAATGAAAATCGCAGAGTTACACCAAAATATACCAAAAATTGATGAAACAAGATTAGACCAGTTTTGCCCTTGGCTTGCCAATTTCACTCCACACATCGGTTCTTTTGACATACCGTGGGGTTATGTGGCACCATCCGATACTCATAAAAATCCACCTAAATTATTAGGATTTGCCACGACTGTAAGCTTTTGAAACTTTATTCTAAAATATAAATATTTAACTTAACCGTGATTTTGTCTTACAGATTCAATTAATTTCATCTCTTCGCCATCCAATCAAAGCAACTATGCTTGGTAGCGATGGTAAATATTATAAATGGTTGGTGAAATTCGGTGAAGATTTGCGCAGCGATCAAAGAGTTCAGCAGCTTTTTGACTGTATGAATCACTCGTTTAAAAATGTTTCTGAAACACTTGACTGCAAACTAAACATCTATCAGGTACCTGACAAATTGAATTTTTATATAAAGCTATTAACATGGTTTTTGGGCTGGGTACAGAAGATACAGAAATTTTTTTACATTACCAACTTCACATCATCAATTTTGTGAGGATACAGCTCAAGAATAAGACAATCATATATAGTAGAAATAAAAAGAACAGTTTTGAATTGTTGCAAGTAGAAATAATCTGACAGAATGAAGAGTGTAAGGAAGGTCAGTGATGAAAAAGAGAAAAAGAACTCAGTGTGGGCTGTATACCATGACTATCTGCGGCTGTGGGAGGTCGTTTTCCTTTACCATGTGCCTGACTTCTTCTCGACGCCTTTTACCATGCCATTGCCTGCAGTTTAAGGCAATCCATTCTTTTTTTACAGTTGAGCCTATTGAAGGCTGGTTTAATGTTATCTTCTACCTCCTCAATTTTCTTTACAAACACTCCTGGATAGTATCTACTACGACATCTATCTCCTGGATGTTCAATCGTCAGGAGTGCTTAGGGGTAATCTAGGATGTGTTGAAGGTTTGCTGGATGTGGCCTTTTGTCCCTTTTCTAGAGGATTCCCCAACTTGGCCTTTTTTTATACCTGCTCAGGGGTGTTTTCAATTTCTCCTCAGTTTGCTCGCAGTTCTGACAGCTTTATAGTTTCCATCTTATTATTCCCTTGCCTCAATGCCACACAGTGGTTCCACCTAGAGTTTGGGAATCTCATATGGTCTCTTTTGTACTGAGGCTTCTCTTGCAAATTAACCATGTCTGTTCCATCAGGTTCAGGAGCAGCTTCATTCTGTGACGCCATTCCAGTCACAGCAGTTGTTGCATTTGTTTTTTATTTGGGTCTGTATAAATTCTCNTAGGTTAGGGCAGGAAGAGTTGTTAGGGTTGCAGGGAGTATTGTCCTCTCAGCAAGCCAGAACAATATAAAAAACAAGTCAGTTCAGTGTGCAAGCTACTAGCCAGCTAATCCATGATTTTTAGTCTATTTTTATTATGTTATTATGGCCAACCATAGAAGACCAAGGTAGCTGAGTGGTTAAGGCTTCAGACTCTCAGCTTATAGATCCTAAGGTCATGGGTTTGATTCCCACCATTGCCTCTGAATTTTTCTGACACACAAGAGTGGTCACAATGAAAATTTCCACTGATCAATGGAAGGTCCAGCAGGTTCAGTTTCTTGAATGGAAGAACACTGGGGATCAATTTACACGTGTGTTGTTGCGAGCTCCCAAAATGGAACTAAGAACGAGTACAATAAGCTGTAAAGACACAATGCTCAGGGGGAACTGCTCCAGTTATTTATAAGCCATAATTAAAAATGGCTAACCTGTAATCAACATCAATTAGTTTTCTTGGATTATGATCATGATGTGTATTTTCAATTTTTATTTTATTTTAGGTAATACCACTGAAACATAACTTTGGATTAATTGAATGGATGAATAATGCTACCACTATGTCTGACTTCATTAACAAAAGTTTGACAATAGAAGAAATACAATTGAGGTTTGTATTTATTTTTTACATTTGGAATATTTATTTATTCTTTTGGCTAGAAGGTTAGTGTCGGTTTTAACAGAAACATCGGTTATACACCAAACCACAAGAAAAAGAAAAGAAAAAAGACACTTGTATTTATTTTGTAATTGTTAAAAATTTGTTTATTTTGCAAAAGATCATTAATAACTTGTTGTTTACCTGTATAAAATGTTACTTATCCTTTTACACTCTTTAGATTAAAAATAAAGAAAATCAGTTCAATTTCATCGTTTACAGAGCCAACTTGTTAGGTGAGTTAATTGGTTTTTAAAATTGTTTTCTTTGATGAAGCAATAAATTTGAGTACAAAATTAATTATTCTTAATTAATTATTATTCTTAAAAGCATTCGGTGTTCAGAAGGAAAAAGGTTTTTTTTTTAACTTTAAGGATAACTTTAAGTTTGGACTTGTGACACATGCATTGCTAGTTCTTACAAGATGTTTTCCTCCCAATGGGCAAAATGTTAGTCACAAGGGAGCCAAGAGTAATCGAGGTTCTGCGTGAAGATTACGAATATGTTTCCATCTTGCAATGAATAAAGTTACTTGATGGCCCTTAGGTAATAAAATAGCATGCCTCTGATTATAGGAAGTCTTATCCTTACCAATCCGTCCACCTACCCTTATCCAGGAAGTGGCTGAATGACTGCAGCTTACACTTGGAGTGAACAACCCCATGAGATCACAGATGAGAAAAATCTTCCGCAAAGGCTTCTGTTTGCACAAGTCATATGCACACCCTTTCAGCTGCAGACCATTCAACACTAGATTTAAATTTTGGTATGTGTTGTTTCAAATATAATTGAATAAATCTGTGCAAATAAATCATAATTTTAAATATCCTGGGGTAGCTCAAATACCTGTTCCAATCAAACAGTTTTACTGTCTTAGTAGTTATCAAAACATTTTTTCTTCAGATGTAGCCACATGCTGAGCCAGCCAGAACGAGTCATGTAGGGAAAACCAAACAGGTCCTTGCCACCGAATATTATTGTTTAAAATGTCTGCAACTAAAAGTTCACGGGAAATTTTATCAGCTGGGTTTTTGTTGCCAGATACATGGCACCAAATGTGGCCAGGTGTTAAATCTCTGATTTGTAGAGAATGCCTCATCCCATTCTGTCTTTAACGACCAAAGCACTTGCAAAAACATTTTGAATTTTACAAGGACAGGCCCCACTAAACCAATGTGATCGAAAACCTTAGTCGTATCTGACAGGATGCTACGCTTTGTAGGCTTTTATTCTCGGGGAAGAAAAATCGAAAATGTAAAGTAATCTTGTTCTGTATTCCACCAGATGTCAAGGGTCTTGATCGAAACATCCTCTTCATTTGGTATAAATTGAGTTTCTCTCTTTGCTGTAGGAATTTTGTTTAATAATGCCGAGTCATTTGCACACCATTTGTATAAAGAAAACTGAGCGCTCTCAAGTATCTTTATAACCTCTTCCTGAATCAACTTGAGATTTTTTAATCATTGCAACCAGTCAAGTAGTCCATATAGAAATTTTGCTAGATTGATTTGACTTCAGAGGGATGGTAAACTGAAACTTAAGCCCTCTGTGAGTAAAAGAGCAACACCAGGTAAGAGATTGTTAGTTACCTTTTAATCTATCACTAAATGTTTTTCAGGTGTTTTCGTGGATTTTCTATAAAACCGTCATAATTAAATAAATTTTTTTTATTAGGGCTCATGAATTTCTGATCTCGTTTAATTTGGTTTATATTAAAATAAGTATGTTGTAATTAATATAACGATAAAAACACTTACAGTTTGAAATAAACAACAAAATACGAGTGTCTAGTTTGTTGTCTTTGAGTGTATAAATAAGCCTTGTAATCGATGTAATTTTTAAACTATGGCATGGAATTTTATTAATAAAGAATTTCCTGATTTTCATTGAAAAACACCTATATTTTTATGTAGGAATGATATTCGTAATTGTCATGAAAAATGGATCTTGGCTTGTGATGCAGAAAATTATTGCAGAGCGCATAACATTGCTGTTCAACAATACACTAAAACAGAGGTGGAGAATCATTTTCAAATGAAATGCCAAAAACTGCCAAGTAAATTAATAAAGTAAGCCAAGCTTCGATTAATTTCAAATAATGGAGTCAATTTTTGTTTAAATAGTACCTTTTGGTGTAACAGACACTTTTTTACATTATTATTAACTATTGTCAGTTAAGTAACATGTTTATAGGAAGTCTTTAACGAGAATGAGTATGTCAGCATACGATTACTACAAATTTCGAATGAGATTCCTTAAGACCTACTCGGTGCTGTCGGTTTGCCATTGGATACTCGGGATCGGCGATCGTCATTTGAAAAACATCTTAATAACTTCATCTCATTGTGAAATCATCGGAATAGATTATAACTATGCTTTTGATATTGGCCTTCGATTTTTACCAATCCCCGAACTAGTACCTTTTCGTCTGACACCACAGTTTTATGATTTGTTTCTACCTCTTGGGAAATCAGGTATGTGTCATTTCTTAACAAATATCAAGTCTGTCCTTGTAATAAAACTCATATTTATAACATTATGTCTCAATATGTTAAGGTATTCTTCATCAAACGATGATCAGTGTCATTGATTCAATTGAAACCGAAGCTATTTTATCTATAACGAAATTGTTCTCTGAGGAGCCAAAATTTCTAGAGTATATCATCAGAAAATGTTCTTTACATGAGAGTTTAAATAAAGGTAACTAAATTAACCTAAATCAACTAAACAGTTACTTATTTTTTAAATTGTCAAAAATACAATTGCAGATCTTCCATTATTTTTAAATGATATTTTTCATGTTATTGATGGTAAACTGAAAAAAGAAAATCCTGTTTTGCTAATGGAAAATCATTTAAAAAGAGGGTTTTTACCACAACATGTCGCTGATGTTTATGGCAAATTAATAAAGGCAGAGTTTGGAGAATATGCCGTGAAATCTGTCTCAACATCTAAAGCACTGGTAAAATTTAGAAAAATAAATTTAAATAAAAATTTATTTAAATATTTTTCTATATTATGATTAAGTAGTACCTAATTGTATGATGATTAAGCAATAAAATATTTTATTATTTAAGGTGAATTGTTTAGTGGATATCTCGACAAATAAGAGGATTCTGGGGCTGTCTCTACCTGCTTTTGAGCCTTGGCTATAAGTTGCTTGGTATGCTTTAAAATACACATTATAAATATATATTTATAACAATAAAATGTTATTGTAAAAATTGTTTGATATATTATGTTAGAGGAGAGAAAAAATATTATTTTATTAAAAAAAAGTTACTAACAAAAGAGATGCATTTTCATTGGAATTTATTATTCTTTTAAATAATTTATTTTGCATGAAATATATTCAAAGAGGTTAATACACTTGCCACCTATGGCTCGAAATGTGCGTTTTAACCACTGCCTGACTCCATCCAGTCCTGTAACTATCACCTATATGCCGATGACTCCCAAATATATATATCCTTCCACCCTTCCGATCTTCACTCGGCCACTCTCAAGATTCAAAAAGACCTAAACTCCATCAACGAATGGGCCCATAAAAATTCCCTAGTCCTCAATCCGTCCAAATCCACCGCCATAATTATCGGGTCCAGGCAACTCCTCAATTCCCTCCCCAGCATCCCACCTCTCATGCTAAATAACCATCCCATCCCCTTCTGCTCTTCGGTTAAAAACCTAGGAGTAGTCTTTGACCAAAACCTTTCCTGGCATTCTCACATTTCCCAAATTTCCCGCCATTCCATTGCCTCCCTCAGCCTGTTTCGTCGGTCCTGGCTTCTCTTACCTTTCTCCACCCGCAAACTCCTTGTATCTTCCCTTATACTTCCCTTCTTCGATTATAGCTGTTTGGCATACGGTGGTCTCTCGGAGGGGGAGAACGCGCGATTGAAGCGTATTATGAATTGTTGCGTAAGATTTGTGTACGGCACCCCACGGGGATCCCGGGTGTCGGGGTTGTATTCCCAACTTTCCTGGCTATTCCCCTCCTTCCGTGCACAGTATTTCCTAGGTTGCTTTCTTTTCCAGTCCATCCACACTCGTCGTCCTCCTTACATCATCCAATCCCTCCAATTCAACTCCTCACATCTCACTCGTAAGACCCGCTCATCCCCAATCGACCTTATCCTTCCGCAACATACAACCCATACCTTCGAAAGATCCTTTCTGATCCGAGCCCCTAAACTCTGGAACTCCCTTCCCCTTTCTATTCGTCACACTGCCTCCTTTTCCTCCTTTAAATCCCACCTGTATAATCACCTCCTCTCCCTCCAAGCAGAGACCTCACGTTAACATTTGTTATTTTTGTTTAATATTCTCGTAATTTTGTCTTCTGTCCTGCCTTATTGGTATACATTGTGCCAAGATTTCTACCTTTTTTTTAAACTTCATAGAAGGAACTTCCTTTATTTATTTCATGTAAATTATTCTTAGGAGACATCAGTCCCAGAATAAAGTTATTTTTCTTCTTCTTCTTTAAAGTTCTAAGAAGGATTTTTGGACCTTTAGGATCAGGACAAACCAAGAAGTTGCTGAACTTTGCCAGTTATTGTGGCCTTTATTAAGACAGGTAAGCTACGGCTGGGACAAGTGCACAGGATACATCCCAAACTTCCATGGGCACGCTGACGGGAGCAGACCACGAGTTAGACCATGTCTTAGATGGTTGACCGACTTGGAAAAAGATTTGTAGGCTTTAGAACTGCGTAGATAAAGAACAGTGACCAGAGACAGGAAGAGGTGGAAAACTGTGTGACATAATACTAGTAGTAATACACTTCTTCCAGGAGAGACAAAATGCAAATAAAATTATTTTGACACTATTGAAAAACAACTGGCTAAATCTGTGTGCTGTTTAAGCACCAAATCTTAATGATCTTAAAGTAGATACATGGTACATGGTTTAACAGCCTATTACCCTTTGGTCATCGCAGATTAAACACAATCAAATTTTACCTTGTTTCCTGTTTCATCTCTTAGCTTAAAACCTAGTGATTTTGTCCAAATGGTTGAGGGTTTTCTTTCTCAAGGCAGTTTTTCAGCTTCAGCCACATTAAACGCACTTTCTGTTGTGCCTAATTGTGGTTCCGGTCCAATAGATGGGAAGGGCCCCTTTGGCTAGTTGGTCTATTTGGTTTCTTCTATACCTTCATGTTTGGGAACACATCAAGGTAAAATTGTTGTGTTCTCCTAAGGCCTTTAAGCAATTTACCCCCACCGAGACTGTTGTTTGATTGTTACCGATCATCTTAGTCTGTCAGATGTGTTTCAGCATTTTGCCATCTTCACCAGGCACACTGAAGAAGGCAAAATAATGAAACACATCTCTCTGAGCAACACAGTGAGGATAGGTAGACCAAGTTGATTGGTATCAAATTACAGGTTTATCACCCTGTAGACCACAGGAGGAAATCTCATGAATCTGAGACTAGTTTGGAGCTAAAAGCATACACATTTAGTTCTTTTATTGCTGTCTGACCATCTGAAAGTATGCAAATCTTCATTTTCACCTTTCATTTTCTTCTGTATCAACTGCTGAACAGAGACATATTGCATGGACCTCAGCTTGGAAGAAGGAACCAGTCCAAGAGGTTTTTCTTTCTGAAGGCATTTTTTCAGCTTCAGCCCCATCTCGGCGCACTTTCTGTTATGCCTAATAGTGGTTCCGTTCCGATGGGTGAGAGGGGCCCCTTCTTTGGCTAGTTGGTCTATTAGGTTTGTTAGGTATACCTTTATATTCGGGAACACATCAAGGTAATTTGGCTCCTTTACACCTACTTTGATCTGTATAGTACAACATACACCTTCCTGAAACTACTCGTTGCTTTTTTCCCAATATCTCTATTATCTATGACCTCTTGGGTCTGTTAATGTTGAATTTTCCTCTCAGTTTGGCAGGTACTGTTTGGGATAGGGATGAAAGTGGCGGCCCAAGGCTTTCCGCACCTCGACCTGAGAACTCACTGGCCAGCTTCAGATTGTTGATTAATCTCCAAAACCTTGCCAGCAGCTCCTTAGTGTAGAATCTTACTTGCGGCTTTTCCGGCAAATATCTGCACCTGCACAGACCTTCACAAAAGCATGAAATGTGTTCTGCGGTCTTCTCTGTCTGTACTCTGATCCAGTGCATGTGCCTTCTTAAGTGGCATTGCCCTGTCAGGAGTTCAACCAGAATCCTGGTTCAGTTACGGTCGCCTTCCAGTAAATCCTTTGTAAGTTTTGCGGATGGCCCTTATGGTATTTATTTCACCAAACTATGGACTCATTAAGGATCCATTTTTGGATGTATCCTCTTCTGTGGCAAGATGCTAGGCCACAGTAGGGTTTGGGACCTAGAGAGTTCATGTTGACTCCCTCTTTGGCCAACATGTCAACCTTTTCATTGCCTCCATATTCCATTTTGCTCAGCGTCAGATCATTAGCCTTATTTTTTCTGTGTAGTTTTCGGTTTAGGAACCCAGTATGCTGTTAGTTACCTCCTGCACAAATATTTCCTTGTCTTTCCATTCCATGTTCTCCTCCAGTAAGGATTGTTCCTTTGTGTCCTGTATAGTGGTTGTTGGTATTCCTGTATGTTGTTTCTATGAGAGAGGGAGTGTTCGAATGATGTGCCTATGAGTTTGATGGTTCCCTGGATATATTTCAGTTTAAGATGTTTTCATCAGCCCCTGGGGAAGTAATGGTCAGTTCTAAGACTTTTTGCCTACAACAGGTCATGAAGATGGGTTCTTGACCAGTTAGCAATGTTTAACCATTCACCAGTTAGGTAATCTGATTAGGACTCACCTTGCTTGTTTATGTCTGTACTTATTCATATAATATAGTGAGCATTTGTGACACTATGGGTAGTTTCATGTTTTGTTCTCTGGAGTACCTCACGATGTTGTCCAGCAACTTGGGTGTACTCGGTTCCTCTCTTGGGAAGTTGGCTGAGCAGATTAGTCATCTTCTTTCTATACCCACAGTCTTTGCTGTTAGGAATATGGTAACAAAGTCGTCGGAACATAATTATTAGTTTAGTGTTAAACACTACAATCCCAGGTTCGTGTTGATGTCCTTTGGTATATTACCTGTGTCTTTTTGGGATTTTATTCCTCTCACATTCCCATTGCGTACCCAAGGTTCATGAACCAGGATGACATCCTTGTCAGACCTACTGCAGTGTGACCGATGTGGCATGCTGGAAATACCTGAAGTACCCTTCTTCCTCCCTGTGCTTTTGTTATTGGGCTGAAGTGGGTAGAGTATCCCTGTATGGGATATCTTCTTCCATTCGCTTTACCTTCTGTTGCTTCTATTGGCCTTATCATATCCTTTTGAGTGGGCTTGTCTAATTCTCAGCCTGCCTTGCTGAGGAGTCTGCTTCCATGCCCATGGTTGGGAGGGTGAGATGAGCCTTTTGGCCTTCCTCTTCCTCACCCTTACCTTTTTTTGGCAGAAGTGAATTCTTCCCATTCTGATGTGGACGGGTGTATACTCACCTTCTGGAGTTCATCAAAGGAATCACTATCCATGGAGAAGGTTCACACTGTACCCTTCTCCTGTCGGGTTTCCCGCCATACTGTCCATAGGTGGTTGTTTAGCTTTGGGTTCCACAGGCAGTTTAGCCTGGTCAGAATGCTATCTGCCATCACTCTACCAGTTTCGGGGTCATCCCTTGCGTGAGTCTCAAGGACTGCAACCTTCAATGGCTTCAGCATTGGTACGACCATGTAGCCTGGGCCTGTGTGTGCACTTGTTGAACTTCAATTCTGACATCTGTGTTTCTCCAGCCAATACTTTATCGAAGGCTAGCATGATGGTATCCTCAAGGGCATCAATCTGGTTTATTTGTAGCCATTTTCTACTACAGCTATCTTGACTTGTATCTTGGGCCCCCTTGTAGGATATATCCTTCTTGGTGAGGTCTTGGCTTTTTCAGGACCTGCTTTCGAGGGGTGCTGTCTTCAGACCTTGGCCTCTTCTTTTTGACATTGGAAGCAGGTTTTGTTAATGAGCTGTTTTTTTCTCCTGCTTCTTTTCCTTTGTCACGTTCAGGATTGCCTTTATAAAGTTGTTTCAGATTATCCTTTGCACCTTCATATATTCTATGATTCCCTCCTTCAATAGGTTTGCTAATCTGTTTCTGGAGGCTCCCAACAGGCGGACCTTAATAATCTCATCTGCCGAGAGATGTTTGATTTCCTCCAGGCTTTTTGACTTGAAGGGGACGTATTTTGGTTTGGCACTCCTGCCTGGTTGGGTGGCCTCTGGGCCTGTCCCAGATGTTTTTGTTTTATAGGCTTCATAGTCCCCATGAACAGCTACATCCCAAGCAGAGCCCCACATGCTGGGTAAGCCTGGATACAACAGGGTGTCGACTGGTTCCCTGAGGGCTCCGTTTGAGACACTATTTTTTAATACCCCAGCACCATTCATCCTTTATCATGGGTTGCTTTACAACTTGGATTATGGTCGCCATGGCCTCTTTAAGTTTGCCTTGATATGCCACCCCACTCCTTGTGGGGGGGGGTGCCTGCAACGTAGAAGTGTTTCCCAGAAGGAACTGCGTGGAAATCAGTTGGTGTTGTGCCCCCCTCCCAGGTACTGTTACAGCCATCTTATTCATTTTATGATGGTTCTTGTCTTGTTTTTTTACATCTCAGAGCCTGTTGGCACTCTCAAAAGCCACCCTTTGCACATGAATGTAAGGGTGGGAGATCGAGTGTGGGTTTCATTGTTGTTGAACAAGTACAAAACAGGGGTTTTTCTTAAGACACTGCAGTCTTGGGATTGGAGATATGTGGTTAGAGGTAAGGTAAAGTTTATGAAATAAAAATGACACATTTGGTAAATAACTTTTTTAATGCTTACTTTACAATGAATGACAATGAAAAGAATATATTCTATGGTTTTTTGAATACTAAAAGCAATTTGTCAGTTGATTATTTTCATCACAAATAAAGAATTTTTAAAATACAGATTCACACTGGTTATGCACAATTTATCACAGAAAAAATGCGTAGATGAATAATAAATAGTTAAATGACTGTGAGAAATAATTGATAGAAGTTTACAAAAAAAAAAATTGTTATGCTATACAAGAGTTTATAACTAAATAAAATTTGTTTATTAACTTGGTATTAACCGATTCTTCTTGCAAACAAGTTTTAACACAATCAGAAGGGAAAAAACCTATATTTATAAGAGCACAGATTTATCACTTATGTACTTACATAAATTACTGATTTAGATTTCTTTTGCATAAGGTAACTAACTGTTAAAAATATTTTGTTAAATCACCTCGCTAATTCGGAAAATCATGGTTCAAATCAAAGTTCACATTCTAAACTGGCACTTGGCTATGACTTTAAAGAAAACTAAAAACAAAATTTGGCACATACTCTGACTTGAATTTTGCATCAGTTCATTTTTTTTTTTTTTCTCCGGTTAGTATATACATTCTCTTTCAAGCATAAGCACAAAGATGGCGTTTGCACGTTTAATGCATTAACATAAGTTCACAATATAATATTACATTTGTCATAAAATTAAAAGAAAAAAAATATTTACACAATTATAATAGAGACATTTTTGAAATTACTAGATAATTAAAGTTAATAATTTTTACATTAAAAGTGTACTCTCCTGAACGTACATTCTTAAATATATTGACCATCGCATAATGAAAAGTTAACTGCATGTTTGTCAATTCTCGTCACTATAATAAAATACATTTAAAAAAAATCTGTAAACAGAATTATATTACAATGTCAGAAAGGAAAATTCTTTAGCAGATTTGATTTTTCTTTCTTTTTTTAAATTTTTATTTTTAAGAATTTATGTGAAATTTAATTTTTCTGATCATTTTGGTCTGTCTATATTCCCAGAAAATACGGGCTGACCAAAATTATCAGTTACGACTCAATTTCAGGTTCATCACCCAGTCACATGGAGAAATGTTACAATTTAAGAATATATGCACAAAAATTTTTGAAAGATTAGTTTCAATAAGGTGTGTTAACTAATTGTGCTTCAATTTTGCTAGGGGCTGACACGATTCAATGGAAATTAGAAATTTCTATGCACAGGACAATCACCAAAAAATTGTTTATTTCTTGTATCAGTTGTTAAAAGTTGAACAGTGGGACAAACAAAATCTTGGTTGTTTAACGTTTTTATCTGAAGCACAAGCAGTGTAACTATAAATGTGAAAAGTGCTGAGATGAAAACATAATTTAAAAAAGTACAAAAAACTAAGAAAAATACAATAAGAAATGGATTTGAATGGCAAAAGCAAAAGAGCAGCACTGACAAAAAAATTGTTTAGTACTTCAAGAAAATTTGGAACAGTACAAAATTTTCTAATAAGGTGGGACAATAGAAAATAATTTCCATTGGAAATTTGGGGTAAAATTCATAATGAAAGATCACTCTTGCTCGATCTTCGTTCAATTTGACGCTGAAAACATAGCGTAACAAGAGAGTACAACACAAGAGGTTTTGCTTAGTTCCTAGAGATATAATGTGCCGATTCGAGTAGGATGATTGTGCTCTGGTGTTATTTTGTATGGATTCGAAGGTTTTCTTAATTGTGAAGACTGGATTTCTTGGGGTCGACAAATCTCCCAGACTAGGTTTGTCAAAGAAAGTGGACGACTTAGTCGCCGAGATCGTTTCTCGGGCAGTTTGACGCCTGCCCCGGAATCGCCTGACGTGCGGCCGCCGGAATGGCTCGAGTCGAGGGTCCCGTCCATGTCCATCGCCTGGTGCAAGTTGTTCAGGGATTTGTATCGTACGCTCACGACCGGCGATCCCGTTTTCCCCGGCGGCTGGTCTTTCATAGGCGAAGAGCTCTTCTGCCTGAGGACCCGACCCCGCTGGGAGTTGGAATTTTTTACATATAGAGAAGGAATTCCACTTTTGTCGTGCCTGGAACTGGGGTTGTTGTACGCGGCTTCTTTTCTCGTTCGCTTTTCGGCTTTCGGATTGGAAAACTGCTGCTTTTTAGTGGGGATGGTCTCGATCGGCGGAGGCTCGGGCCGGAATCTGTCGTTGTTGGAGTTGGAGAGAGGAGCGGATGCGGCGTGTTCTGTCGTCGGGTGCGTCGGCTCGGCGAAAGGCGATTTAATGTTTTTGGGCAGAGGGGCGAAACCCCGGACGTAATCGTAAATCTGGTCTATGTCGTCGTAATCGTCTCCGGAGATGTTCGGTTCTCGGTTTTCGTTATCCGTGTTCATCCACGTGTAGGAGGTCACACTCGGGGAATCTAAAGAGGCGCTCCTCCTGAGGAAGTATCCCGTTTTTATCTGCGAGTAGCGCGATGTCGCTCCAGCTCTGCCGATCTTCGTTTCTGAGAGTTTACCGTCAAGGACGTGAGCCCTGTCGGCGACTTCGTTGACCAAGGAAGTCCCTTTTTCGCAGAGCCTGTTGAACTCTTTCATGGTCTTCAGGAGGTCGGCGTTTCTGGCGGTCTGGAGTTTGAGGGCCGCCGCCAACGGAAGAGAGACGACGTTGGAAATGTCTTTCTGGAGAGGAAGGGCGAACACGTTCTCCTCTTCGATAACGGCGAGCAATCTCAGTTCCTGTACGGAATGACTCGAACTTTTCAAACCTTTGGGAGGCGGCCCGTGGACGAGACGTACGGTCAAAGGCATCCTTTTCGAAAGAAGATTCCGAGCCGTATGTACCCCGCTGATATGGTCTTCCTTCGCCAGTATGCTAAATTTACCTCTTTGGTCGTATCCGAGAAAGACGAATTCGTTTTTAGAATCCATACACTGTAAAAATCTCATTTTGTAACCGTTGAGTTGGGCTTCTGTCACGGGGAAGAGCGTTTCACCGATGAGTACCGTACGGAGGCCGTTGGTGCAGAGGACCCCTTGACCGTCGGTCTTCGCCATCAGGGCTCTTATCGGTTCCCTGACCAGGAAGCCTGTATCGGGCATTTTCCTCGCCAGTTCGGCCACAGTTTCTATCGCCTTCATGCCCCGGCCTTCTTCGCTGAGCAACTCGAAATAACCGGGATACGATTCGGGGATTTCTATCTTGGGGCCGACTCCGACCACTCTCCGGCCTTCTTTGATTTTGACGGCTTGAGCCAAGATCTTGTGCTTGTTACCCGTCGAGAGGAGAAGCGCGGTCGACTGGAGGCCGGGGTTCGGCAGGCTGGGCACCCCGAATCCGCCATACTGGCCCTTCACGAACTTCACCACAACAGGAAACGTCCGATTGTTGGTGAAATCCTTCAAGTACAAAGCTTCATCTGACCATCTGGCGGCGGCAACAATTATCTGTCCATCGGTAGCCATCGCCTCAGATTATCCGGAACATCTGAAAAGAGAGCACAGTTTTAGGAATCAGACATTAAAAAAGTATAGGGCTAAATTTAAAGTACATGTAACAAAAGATACAAATTCGTTCAATTACTTATTAATCAACGGGTAGTGTTTTTGATTAAAATTATTTCCCTTAATCATAAAACTAAGGTGTACCAGCAGTGTGACTGATAAAATTAGAAGAAGAAGCTTTTTTTCAAGACCTTCGACGTCTTAAATTTCCTAACATTAAAAGGACAAAGCTCAACATGCCAGCCAGTAGCTACTTATGCTTAACTCTTTCACTGTTATTTTTAACCCTTTAACTACAAATATTGAACTGATATCGTTAACGTTAACGCAATGTTGGCAGAATTTCGATCAATCTGTTCAAAATTGTCAGAAACATTGAACATGGCCCCTGATAGCAAACTTGACCTTACTAAATTGATGACAAGTAAAAAACTAAATTTGAGAACATCCAGGTCGAATATATTTGTTTAGAAACGAAATTTGCATATGCCCACTCGAAAAAATCGAGTAGGCGGAAAATACATCGGGCAAACTGGAATGAAACTCCAAGATAGGTTATAACTAAAGAGCGTTAATATATACGATAATATACATTGAGTATATAATTAACAGTATTTAGAATTCGTACATAACGTTTACGGATTAATTAATAAAATTTATGCTTTTTTCACGTTGTTTGTGACCTTCAGTATCATTTGAAGTTTTAAATAACGAAAACAAAATATATACGTCATAAATACAAATTTTCCAACGCTTATTGAAGGAAAGTTTAGTGTTCAAAAATATGTAAAAATCTGTCTTGCTTGGATCATTAGAACATGAGCAAAAGACATCTGTCTTGGTAGAAACACTAGAAAACTAACGAGATGTCAAAGCATTCAAGAGAATAAAAAAGGACGTCTCAAAGGATCCAAGAGAAGAACATGCGTCTTAAGGTATCCAAAAGAGGAAAAGACGTTTCAAAGGATCCAAGAGAGTAAAAGAGGTATTTAAGGAGCCAAAAGATGAAAAATGCTTAGGTTAGCAAGAAATATATTAAAATGGGAAAACATCGTTTTGCTAAGGCCACTAGAAAATGAACAAAACGTCTTAAAGGATCAAAAAGAAAGAAATACGTCACAAAAGAACCAACAGATCAAAAGACGTCTCAAAGGATCCAAGCGAGGAAAAGTTGTCTTATAATATCCAATAGAGGAATGAATAACATCTCAAAGGACCCAAGAGAGGAAAATATGTTTCAAAGGATCCAAGAGAGTAAAAGACGTATTTAAGGAGCCAACAGAAGAAAATATGCTTAGGTTAGCAAGAAATAAATTAAAAAAGAAAAAAATCGTTTTGCTAAGACCACTAGCAAATGAACAACACGTCTTAAAGTATCAAAAAGAAAGAAAGACGTCACAAAAGAACCAAAAGATTAAAAGACGTCTCAAAGGATCCAAGTGAGGAAAAGTTGCCTTAAAACGTCGAATAGAGGAATGAATAACATCTCAAAGGATCCAAGCGAGGACAAGGCATCTCAAAGGACTCATTCTTTGGAAATTCACTTTGCTGTTATCCCTAAGAAATCACAAGACTTCATAAAGAAAAACATTTAGGGTAGTTTGAAATGTATAAAAATTAAAATAAAAAAATCGTCTTTAGACAATGAGAAATACATATAAGAAAAAAATGCTTAGATATGGCTGTTTGAATTGTAGTAAAACCGACGAAAATTAATCTTACTAGGACCAACATCTTACTAGGATCCAACAGAAAAACTCTAAGGTTTGATAGCTTGAAATATTTAACAATGTAAAAATCAGTCCTGTTGGTCTCTTTTTAATGTGCAAGACCTCTCTCGAGTTCGTGAGAGAAAAACCTCTTTTCTTACGAATCAAAACGTGTGGATTTACGCTCACTCGTGGGCAAACGAATCAACGAGTGCATTGGGAACAGTTAGAGGAAAGGAGGAAGAAGAAAGGAAGGATGGCGAGAGAAAGAGATAGAGTGAGAGGGGGGAGAGAGAGAGAAAGAATGAGAAAGAGAGGACGAACGAACATAAGTACACCGATGTCCGTGTTCGGTTCAAGGCTACACTCACTTCCCAAGTCGTCTCGGCTCACCAGCACTTACTCATCCTATTTTCTTTTCAATTTTACACCGGGCTTAATTGGCAGTTGCGCTTTAACGGAAGAGGTGAATCATCTCTTGGGTGGAAGTTACCGTAGCAACTGTGGCAAACTATCTTTTTTTTGCCTATTCAGTTCGTTTGTTTCGTAGATAAAAACAATGAAAAAATTAATAATTAAACTGAGAATTTTTAAGATTTATTCATAAATAATTAATGGTACATGCGAGGTGAATGTAACAGTAAATTTTAACTAGGGGACCATAAGGAACCGCTAGTCGCTAATGGTTATCCCCTATTTGGTATGTGTTATTTTACATGCAAACTCTTAAACTTGCATGTATAAAAAAACATACCAATTTCATTTTTAACATTTATATTTTAACTAACAATGTGAGTTTTTTTTAAATATCAAAATTCGAGTTTATTGATCCTTTTTATGGTCTTATTTAAATGGAGGATCTTCAGCATGGCGATAACGTTTTAGAAAGGGGAATTCGCCTTGGTTGCCTGGGTTATTTCTACGTGTTTTTGTCCGCGGATTTCATGGCGATACCATTGTCTTGATTTATCATGAAGAGGAGCGTTACCACTCGCCACTTTGTGAATCTGATTCTTCCAACCGGCCCTGATCCGACGATATTCCTTCGTTTTTATGCACGAGCTCTCTGGAATATTCGAAAGTCGATGAATTCCGTCGCTTGTAGAAGGGTGGGGCAGATCACCCAATTCCACTGACCCCGGTAATTCATAATCAAACTAATATAATAGTTAGCAAACCCCATGTACAAATATGCGTAGTGGGGTGGAACCCTTGGGCAACCCATACAAGTAGCAAAGAAGTTTTTGACCTAATTTTTAGAGCAAAAGTTTTAAAACGTGTGAAAGAATAGAAAAGAGGAAAAATGCTTAGGGTAGCCTGAAATGTATTAAAAGAGAAAGAAATGCCACAAGAAAATGAACAGAACGACTCAAAGGATCTAAGCGAGGAAAAGACATCTCAAAAGATAAAAGAGCGGAAGAAACCTACCAAAGGGTACAGAAGAGGAAAATACTTCTCAAACGATACAAGATACGAAAAAACTTCTCAAAAGATAAAAGAGCGGAAAAGACATCTAAAAGGAACCAAAAAAGGAAACGACGTCTCAAAGGATCCAAAAGAGGAAAAGACGTCTTAAAGGATCTAAAATAGGAACAAATGTCTCCAAGTATCGAAAAAAGGAAAATACGTTTGTCTTGACGGATCCAAGAAAGGAAAAAAAACGATCAAAGGATTCAAAGGAGGAAAAGACGTAACAAAGGATCCAAAAGAGGAAAAGACGTCTTAAAGGATCTAAAATAGGAACAAATGTCTCCAAGTATCGAAAAAAGGAAAATACGTCTGTCTTGGCGGATCCAAGAAAGGAAAAAAACGATTCAAGAGAGGAAAAGACGCCTCTAAAATCCTAGAGAAAAAAATACGTCTTGAAATATTCAAGAGAGGAAAATACTTTTGAAAGTATACAAGAGAGGAAACGACTTCTTAAAGGGCACAAAACAGGAAAAACGTTTCAAAAGATCCAATAGATGAAAAATGCCTAGGTTAGCATGAAATACATTAAAATGAAAAGAAATTCGTATTGATAGGGTTGGAAAATGAACAGGAATAATTAAAAGATGCAAGAGATGAAAATATGTATTAAAGGATCCCAAAGAGGAAAATACGCCATAAAGAATATTCACAAGAGAGGTAAAAACGTCTCAAAGAAGCAAGAAGAAAAATACCTTTCAAAAGATCCAAGAGAAGGTATACAACGACTTGATGGTGGTACAAATCATTGGAAATCTTTCTTCCTGAGGTCTCCAGGAAATGAATAAGACGTCTCAAAGGATCCCAAAAGAGTGTAAAACGTCTCAAATGATTCAAGATATCCTGTTGTTATTTGTTATCATAATCATAAATAAATTATTGCTATTGCTTTTTTCTTTTGTACACGCTATGATCCTGGTCCGTAAATTTTCGCATTTTTAAGTGATTATAAGTGATGTCCAAGTCCATCGGTTATAGTAAACAATCGAGGGGAAAAAAGGCGAATAGTCCAAAGAATTTTCAGACTACTCATCGGCCGAACATCTTTAAATGCTAATAATACAATTAAACGTTTATTCAGGAATTTGTGGATCATTAATGCATCCGAAGGAAAAAGGCTGTTCAACGGTTTGTGTTACAGACCGGTTTCAATAATAGACTATCATCATTGGATATTTCTGATTTTGGCGGAGGCTACCCACCAGGAAGAATGGTCCCGTTAAAATCCCCTCAGAACTGGATATATTATGCAAAGGATTTAGGACTCATGTTATTACTACATTAAAAAAAAAAAAAATTGATAACGGTATGCTTAAAGATTTTTTGGAATATTTTTTTAGTACAATAACAAACATTATTTTAGCCTTAGATCTAGTTGCTACCCACTTTTTATTACCTGATCCTAAAATCCTATCTAACAGATTATTGTTTTAAACTAAGGTGGGGAGTTTTCTCAGAGACGAGACCGACACAAGCCGGCGTCTCACAAGGGTGCATGCTTGCTCCCATCCTACATTCTGTTTACGCTGCTGACTTGCCGGTACCCCTTACAAGTAAAACAATGGGCATTACGCCTTGAACACTTTACATTTGTAACAACGATGTTGGACTCGTGGTGGTCACGGTTTGTAATAAAATTGCACTTTCGCTAGGAGGGTGCTGTTCAACCTGAAAAGGAGTAAGAGATGCCCTTTTCTACCCCTTCGGGGAGTGGGTGAAAGTGGAAACACTGGATGCTACCAACCTCCTGAGATCACGAGAAAACAGGGATGACAGAAAAAGAAATTTTTAGTTAAGAAGTTCATAC